CCATTTTTTTATTGCACCTCATTAATAGCCTTTTTGATTTCGATTTGGTTAGATTTTAGTTCTTTTATTTCTCCAGAAAGTGATTCTCTGGTATCTTCCATGCTTTTTTCAAGCCCAGCTGGTATCTTTATAATTGTCATTCTGAACTCTAGTTCCGACATTTTACAATGTCTGTATTTATTAGGTCCCTGGCAGTTGGTACTGCCTCTTGTTCTTTTTTTTGAGGTGAGTTTTTCCGTCTTGTCATTTTGTCCAGAGAACAGATGAATGAGAGAACAAAATGCTAACAGGGTAGCAACGACCCCAGAAAAATATACACTAAACAAATCAGAAGAGACCCGAAACTGGGGGGGAAAGAAAGGGAAAGAAAAAGAAAAAGAAAAAAAAAAAGCATGATCAGGTTGGTTAATAGAGCCACACTTTAGATTTTGGGCATATTTTGGTTTGTTAGAAGAAACTGCCTCTCAAAATTTTAAAGAAAGATAAACTTATATATGTACATAAATAAGGGTAAATACGACGAAGGGATGGAATATGACTGTAAAGATGAAAATTATAAAAGATTTTATAAAAGGAATTGTTAAGAAGTTGGTTGAAAAAAGAAAGCAGAAAAATAAAAAAAAAAAACAAAAAAGGAGAGATTGTGATCAGGCAGGAGACTAGAACAAAGCCATGCACTAGAGATTTAGGGTATATTTTGGTTTGTTAGAAGAAACTGTATCCCAAAATTTTAAAGAGAGAACAAATTACATATACAAAAAATAAGGGTAACTACAATGAAGGGATAGAATATGACTCTAAACCTGAAAATTAAAAAAGATTTTAAGGAATTGATAAGATGTTGGTTCAAAAAGGGAGAAAGAAAAATTAAAAAAAAAATAGGAAAAGGAAAAAAGAAAAGTTAAAAAAATTAACTTGGAAAGACTAAAGAATCATGGGGAAGAAAGCGATGAATTCTATGTGCTGTATTCCCCTAGTGCTGGTGTTCTGCCATTCTCATTGATCAGTAAACTTGGTCTTGGTTGGCTGTTCTTGCTGATATTCTGGGGGAGGGGCCTGTTGCCGTGGTTCCCAAATGTCTTTGCCTGAGGCGGAATTGCCCCGCCCTTGCCGGTCTGGGCCAAGTAATCTGATCGGGTTTGCTCTTGGGAGCTTTTGTTCCTGCAAGCTTTCTGTACAGCTTTGGAGGCTGAGAGTGAAAGTGGCGGCCTCCCAATCTCTGCCCTGTAGGCGCAGAGAACTCAGGGCCCCACTCCTCAGTGAGCCCCCAGAGAAAAGCTGTCAATCACTACTGTCTTCCCCAGTCTCCAGCCACTCTCTGTGCTCACCCGGCCTGTGACCGAGTGTTTCTGTCTCTTGCACCCAACCCCGGGTGGAGTCTCCAAACCCAGCAGATCCCTGCGGTGGGCTCCTGCGCTGCTCCTCCCCAGGGAGGAAGGGGAGTCTCCCTGGATCTGCCGCTTGTTGGGTCCTTGCTGGAGGAGCAGTGGCCCGACTGTGCCGCCCATCACGGTTTATGGCAACCTCGAGCTGAGAGCCTGTGCCTCGGCTCCGTCTCTGCAGCTGGCTTCCCCGCTCTGATATGTTGGAGCTCTGCCACATTCAGGCACCCCTGGTCTTCCTGTGACCCTGAGGGTCCTGAGACCACACTGTCCCGTGAGGGTTCCATCCCCCGCTTAGCCACTGGAGCGATGTCCCTCAGCGGAGCAGACTTCTAAAAGTTCCGATTTTGTCCTCCGCAGCTCTATCACTTGCCAGCATCAGCTGACGGAGGCCCCCTCCCCCGCTGTCTATCTTCCCGAATATCGCCTCGGATTCACTTCTCTGCACGTCCTACCTTTCAGAAAGTGGTCGCTTTTCTGTCACAGAGTTGCTGCTATTCTTTTCTTCGATCTCCTGTTGAGTTCGTAGGTGTTCAGAATGCTTTGATCCTTATCTAGCCGAATTCCTGGGCCCAGACGAAATTTAGGTCTCCTACTCCTCTGCCATCTTGCTCAGTATTTCCTTTAATTCCTTTTAAAATTTAATTCCTTTTAATTCCCATTTTAATTCCTTTAATGATTTCCTCACTTGATGTTTTTTGAGTTTTTTTAGTGGTTTCCTTAGTTCCTTTAAGCGCTTCCCATATTGACCTTATCAGTATTTCCTTTAGGTAATCATTAGGCTTTATTAACATTTTTCCTCTGGAATTGTGATTATTATGATTATAAGTGCATTTGATCAAAACAGTATAAATATACATTTGAAAAGCTAAACGTAAAAATTTCTATTGGAAATTTTTTTTTTTTAAGATTTTATTTATTTGAGAGAGAGCAGAGAGAGAGAGCACAAGTGGAGGTCGGGGGGGGGGAAGGGGCAGAGGGAGAAGGAGAAGCAGGTTCCCCGCTGAGCAGGGAGCCCGATGTGGGGCTCAATCCCAGGACCCCAGGATCATGACCTGTGCCAAAGGTAGACACTTAACCGAATGAGCTCTCCAGGTGCCCTGGAAATACATTTCTTAATGATGTGGGTAGGTGGTTTTCCCCCTCTTCCCTGATTAGTTCATGTGTTCATAAACGAATATACTTACAACTAGAATTTGATAGGGCTCATCATAAATTTCACTCTAAATTTTTAAAATAGTTACAGGCTCGAGTCATAAATAAGTAGATGAGAATTGAAGGGATTTTGTAGTAGCAACATCACTTAGTTCTTTGACTTTCTTTGAGTGTCATGCCAAAGATATGTATAAGATAGGGAAAGACTAGGAAACTTACTGCTGGTGCTTCCTGGAGATTTTTATATCCTACGCAGTGCACAAAGGAGGATTCAGGAAGGGAAAAGATATGCCCATTTGGCGAAGTGGGAGGACGGAGATTGTACAAGGGAATATGGGAGAGGAGATCCAACATGGTGCCACTGTTAAGTACTCTTCTCAGGAAGGTCAGTTTTAGAACAATATTATTTGTGAATTGAGGTTCTGAATGTGTTTACCTTAAAACCACCCATGCCCATGTACTCTTCAGAAAGTCTGTAGGATTACACAAACAGCATGAAGAAAGCCTTTTAAAGTAGTGGCCTCCAATGATAAAATGTGAGCCAGTCTAAATATCAACATTCAGTATTAGGTTTGTAGACAAAGAATTATGATACTGCTATTCACTGTTGTGTGCAGAAAGTACTTTACATATAAACTGGCATTTAATAAATATTTGTTATTTTAATTTATAAAGTATGTTGTCAAAAAAAAGTATGTTGTAAAGAAATGCACTTAATTATTCTATTAACTATATTTACATCCATTCTATCTTCCTTTTGTTGTAGTCTGGTTTCCTTACCACACCATTGAAATTGTTCTCAGTTGGATCACCAGTACCCTAAATGTCAGAAAATCGGGTGGACGCTTAAAAACTTTGGCCTCTTCTTGCATTTTGATGCACTGCACCACTTTTTATAATTGTCTTTCCATGATTTTTTGGGATGTAAGGCTTTTTTGATTTTCCTTCTACCTCTCTGTTTGCTTTTTTCTTTCTTTCTTTCTTTTTTTTTTTTTTTAAAGATTTTATTTATTCATAAGAGACAGAGAGAGAGAGAGGCAGAGGGAGAAGCAGGCTCCCCGCTGAGCAGAGAGCCCGATGCGGGACTTGATCCCAGGACCCTGGGATCATGACCTGAGCCGAAGGCAGACGCTTAACCATCTGAGCCACCCAGGCGCCCTCTGTTTGCTTTTTTCTAGTTTACTTGCACGTTCCTCAAGTGGGGCTCCATGCCCAGTGGGGAGCCTGATGTAGGGCTGGATCTCACGACCCTGCGATCATGACCTTAGCCGAAATCAAGAGTTGGACACCCAACTAACTGAGCCACAGAGGTGCCCCCAATTCTTAATTCTTAGATGTTGGTGTTTATCAGGACTCAGTCCTAGGCCTCTTGTCATTTAACTCTGCATAAGTTCCCAGAGACTGTTTCTTCTCACCCTAGGGCTTCATTGACACTCTGGATTCATAATGCCCTTCTCTATCTTCAGCCCAGATGGCTCTCCTGACATCTAGACCAAAATATCCGGCTGTCTCCTGGACATCTTCACCTAGATGTTTGCTCACATATACTCTTTGGAACTCAGCTCCTGAGCTTCCCCTAACCTGCTTCTCCAGGTTTTTTTCCTCAGTAAATGGCACTGCTAGCTAACCAGCTGCCCAGGTCCCTAACCCAGAAGTCATTCTTCATTCCTTCTTTTCTTTATTTCTTGTGATGCCAATTCTACTTCCTAATATTCTACAAAAATCTGCCCACTTCTGACCTCAGTGTCACTGTCCTCGCCAAACCAATTTCCCTGGCTTCTCTTACTCAGAATGACCTTTTTGCCTGAATTTTGCTTTCCTCAATACATGGTTGGCTTGGTAGTGAAACTGGTTCCCCTCTAGTTTTAATCTCATCATGGTGCCCTTGCTTAAAACGTTTCAGGGGCTTCACTTTGCTCTTGAGATAAAAGTCTGACACTTTAACATGAATTACAAGGCTGTTTGGATTTCACTCTCCCTTATCTATGTGCTTTATCTCTGGCTCATCACCCTAGCACACTATACTAGAGACTAAAGCAGCTTTTCCTTTTCATAAAGTTTTATGTCTCAAATATGTGGGCTTGCACTCTCTGACCTCTGGTTTCTTTGATTCCTTCCACACACTGTTGTCTCTGTGTGGACCACTTTGCTTGGTTAACTCCGTAGCCTCTGGCCTCACTTTTAAATAGCTCTTCCTCAGGTGGCCTGCCTTAGATCTCTGGGTTAGGTTCTGTTACGTGCTCAAAAAGTACCGTATATTTCCTCTTTCATGTAGCTCATCATACCTTAATTACGTGTGTCTTTCATGGTAAGCTATTTTGTAAACTTCGTGAGGACGGGGAGTCTTTATCTTGGACTCTGCTCTGACACACATATATGAGCATATTCAGCATCTTTGAATAAGTTAACAATTTTGAGTTCTTGTTCCTGTGATTTCAAAATGCACTTGGTTTTTCTCTTTAGTGTCTCAATGAGATCCTGGAGTCGGCAGATGCGCCTTTAGAAGTCACTGAAGGATTCATACAGTCAATTTCTCTGTCAGTTCCATGGGGCTCCTTGCTACAGGAGAATTGTGCACTGGAAGTGAAAGGGCTAGAAATGGTCTTCCGGCCTAGACCCCGCCTAGGTAGGTGTGTTACATGTTTCTCTTTTGTTTGTTTCTATTTGTATTCTTCACAGATTGGGAAAGTAACCTAATTGTATTAAATTCAGTATTTAATTTATTACTTAGCATTGTATTTGTGAGATTTTCAGTAGATAAAAATACTAGGTCTTGGGAGTGTTTGATTTCTACCTTTAGAGTTACTTCTTGCCCTATTTATCCACGGGAACTTTAGTATACTGATGATTTGGTTTAATTATTATTTGTTACTGATTATGTAAAGTGACTTGTATTTTAAAGTTTCAAAGTATTGTGCCAGAAACCATTGATGGAGAAATGTTAAAAGGACAGAGGACTCGGCTTGTAGGTGTTCTCGTTGGCCAGATCTGGGAATAATGACAATAAATGGATTATAACACTTGGAATTAAAAGCAACTCTAAGTCCATACTGTTAAAAATAAGTAATCAGGATGTAAGGGAGGCAGGAAGAAGGGAAAGCTCTTTATTGCAGTAGAGTATCTACTTACTAGAGTAGAAAAAATGATAGACCATCACCATGTTTTTGGCCACCGTGGTAAAAAAAAAAAAAAAAAAATTTGATACCGGTGGTAATCATCAATGAATGCTAACCCCATTTGGTGAAAGGTTGTTGAGGAGCTTGATACTGAGATGTATTGACATACCTCCCATTGATGACATATTATTTACAGAGAGAAAAATGTTTCTTTCACAGTGGAGGAAATTGAGAGTCACCACAACAACCCTAGTGGTCAATCTTAATCTCATCAATAGTGGGTCAAACTGCCATGATGTGTGTCCTGAGCGATGGCTGAAAAAGGACACATCATATATATATTCTTCGTGTTAAAAGTGCTTAATTTGAATCACAGCATAAGGAAGAAGGCAGACAAATCCAAAATGAGGGAAATTCTATAGACTAACTGGTTGATACTCTTTAGAAGTATCCATATCATGAAACACAAGAAAAGTAGAGGAATTGTTCCAGATTAGAGAAGAGTAAGACATGAATAACTGCAGTAGATAATTCTGTGTTTTTGTTTTTGTTATGAAGGATATTACTGGGACAGCTGGGAAATTTGGGTGTGGAATGTATAGAGGATAGTGTTTTGTCAGTGTTACATTTCTTGGGTGTGTTCATGTTACTGAGCTTTTGCGTGGTGTGTTTGTATTCTCAGGAGTTATCTGCTGAAGTATTCAGGACTGAGTGTCATGATGCCTGCAGTTTACCTTCAGATAGATCAGCAAAAGGACAAGAGTGTGTGTGTATTTGCGTGTGTGTATATAGTTGTGACGAATCTAAGGGAAGGCTACGCAGTTGTTCATTGTACTGTTCTTTCACCTTTTCCTTAGGATTAAAAATTTTCAAAAGAAAAGTTTGGGAGGGAAAAGCTTTAAAGTAGTAGTAAGTTATTATTTATAAGTGTATCCGTGTGGTAGCTTTAGTTATATGTATGCCGTTTTCTGATGTATCAAACATGTATATAGTGCTTCTTGCATGCCAGATGCTGTTGTGAGTGCACCAATATTATCTTACCATAGCTCTTTGAAATAGATACGGTTTGTTGTCTTCATTTTATGGAGCAGGACATTGAAGCACAGGTAGACTTGTCCAAGGTCATAGCTAGTTAAGTGGAAAGTTGGGATCTCAGCCCAGGGAGTCTAGTTCTGGAGTCCATGTTCTTAACCACTGTGCTCTGTTATAGCTCAGATTTTCTACCTTGGAGTATGTGTGTGCGTGCGTGCGTGTGTGTGTGTGTGTGTGTGTATTTTATAAAACGATAGAGTCATGATCTAAGTCATCTTAAATTCTGAATTTAAATTCTTTGAGTGACAAGTGATGTTGGTCAAGATATACTTGAAGAATGACAATTCTAAGTGCTGTCTGGAACACCAAAGTTTAAATTATGCTTTTACTAGAATTAATAGCACCTGTACTTTGAAAATTGGTAGTCTATGCATGGAAATCCTCCTTGATAATGGCATTTAATTAACAAGAGTATTTTGTTTTTAACCATGATGGCTAAAATAATATTTTCCTATGGAAAGTCAAATATTCTGCCTTTAAAAATATTCCATGAGAAGGGTTTTAAATTCCATTTTGGAAGGCAGTGATTCTAGTAATCTGTTTGTTTTGAATAATGGAAGGAAGTGTAGTGCAATTCTTTGATGAGGGGTGATCTGGAAAGGGTTTTTCCCAGTTCATGGATTCCTCCAAGGATGTTCTTCTGTTTTATCTACATTTATACTGACCTTCTAAAGCCTAGGTCAGAAGCCACCTCTACCAGATTTCCGTTAAATTCTGTCTGTGGGAAGAATTTACCTCTTGATTTTTAGCTGTCAGTGTTTTCTGTTGACATTGCGTAGTTGCTTACTAATTCTTCTTAACCACATCTCATTTCTTCCATATATTGTAGGCTCTCAGAGGGCAGAATTAATCATTATTTTTCTGTCCCCTACAGCAGGGTCCGCTAACTATGGCCTGCAGGCCAAATTTGATCTGTCATATTTTTGTAAATAAATTTGTGTTGGAACACTACCGTACTCATTCATTTCCTTATTCTCTCTGGCTGCTTTGGCACTAGAGAGAGAGAGCTGAGTAGTCAGGGTAGAGGCTCTAGGGCCTAAACTATTTACTATCTGACCCTCACCAAAAAAATTTGTTGACCCCTGTTCTACAGTATTTTGAACAGTACCATGCATGCATTAGATACTTGTTTAATGAATTCATGAATTAACATTTGACAGATACATATCATTTAATGAGAGCACGTCTCTGGACTTCTTTCTGTGATTTTTTTTTTTTTTCTTTTTTCTTCTCCGTTATTGTAAGGTGATGTTTAAATCTCAAGAGTAATTTCTAGAATACCATATGCCTAGGTAACACCCTGATGTTAAATATCTCTTGGAGGGTTAAGAATATATTTCAAATGTGGCATTTTAAGAAATTGCTTTGTTGTAACTATAAGAAGTTATTTAGGATTAATCTATATCTTCTGCAGCAACTGGTTCTGAACCTATGTATTGGTCAAGTTTCATGACCAGCAGTATGCAATTGGCAAAAGAATGTCTTAGCCAGAAATTAACAGATGAACAAGGAGAAGCATCGCAGCCTTTTGAAGGACTTGAAAAGTTTGCTGAAACCATTGAAACAGGTTTGGCATTATGGAGTATTTTCAAAAATTTTAGTTTTTTTTTTTTTTTATTAGTAGTTTAGTACCTTTCTTTAGTAAGCCTTGTATAAGGAAAATCCATTGGAGTGATTTTTTTTTTTTTTAAAGGCATTACTGTTCTTCAGAACTTTAGAATTGAGGTTATTTTAAATATTCAATTTAATTTCACGTCCTTCTGTACCCTATTTTTTTTTTTTTCTGTTTCCTTTATTATACTTGTGTAATAAAGGGTTTAGAGGTCAGCAGAGAGTGCTGGGCATTGCTCAGGTATCTGTTAGGTGCTCAGTAAGGCAAAATGTTTATTACCAAACTCAAGATTTTGGGATTTTTAAGGAAAGAAATACCAGTTTATTTTGTAAGTTCTTATTAAGCTACTATATATACCTTTCATTAGAAGTTTTTATTTAGTATACATGTGGTCTCATATTGATGGTTACCTGTTTACTCCAGTACTAAGAAGAGTAAAAGTCACTTTTATAGACACTGTCTTGAGAATTGAACACGTGCCAGAAAATTCCAAAACTGGAACTGCACTTGAAATTCGAATAGAAAGGTAAGACTTCTTATATCTGAGAATAAATGACCCTATTCTTTTTTTTTTATAAATAGTAAGATCTGACTTTCATTAGATTTCATGATGGTTTTAGAGGTTAGAAGTGATGCTATTGAGTTACTACATTGTATGTTTTCAGAGTAAAGCTCTGCTCTCCAAGATACATTCTAATCCCTTTATTGAAAACTTAAAGTACCATTTGAGGTATAATTATATATAATACTGTGTGGAATTCAAAGCAAATGATTCTTTTAGTTAATACCAAATAAAAATCATGAATATGTGAGTGCTGCTAAATTTAAGGCACTCCTGTTGGAGTTTTTTCATACGAGCGATGTCCTGTTTTGGCGTGTCTCATTAATGTGAGGGGCTTCTTTGCTTTCCTGTGCTTGATCTGAGTGCTGCTTTCACGAGAAAGGCTAAGCCTGCAGTTTTCTTTGAAAGGATTCTGTGAGAGTATCTGTGTGATAGTAATTTACTTAAATAGATAGAAACCAGGACTTAGTTTTCTGTGTATGCCCACTTGGAGCCTTATAAACAGCTGAGTGTCGATTTGAGGTAGTCACTTTTTTTTTTCCTTTTGGTGGGCAGCAAAGCAAAGTTTATTGAGAGTACAGTAATGTACAGATAGTACAAAGCACCCAAAGAAGGAGGGGACCCGAGAGGGTTGCCCTTGAGGTAGTTACTGTTCACCTGTGTCTTAACGTGACAGAAATAGGCAGAATTGCACTGAGTACCGAAGACACTTTGTATAGGGAACTTTTGGGGACTTTTACGAAATTTTAAGCAGGTATGTTATGGTTTCTGTCTTTCATAAAATTACCTATTAGTGAAACAGTTATTGTTAGCAGATTTTTGAAATTAGGTTGTGTTACCTGAAATGGTATATTAAAAAGTATCTAAAATCTCATTCATGTAGAACTACATTCTTTATTTTGTTGAAAATGAAGTGAGTCATAAGAACTCATAGAATAGTCGTAAGAATTTAAAAAATGTCATTCATTGCAGACTTGTGACTTGGAGCCAAATGCTGTCTCACTGTTACTAAGAGATGTTTGTGAGGGAGCACAGGAGTTGCTTTCCTTGAGGCTAACTTTAGGAAGTTATTAATCTTTTCTCCCAGTTTAGGAGCCCCATAAAATTATCCTTCTTGAGGCTGAGGTCTCTTGGTGAAAACATTTCCTGTAGTAAAGCACTAATGCTGACCACATTCTAGGCATTTTCTAAGTGCTAACACTTGAAAAACTCTTGACCTTAAAAAGCTATGTGTGTTTTAGACTTGCAAGTAGGCTTTCTTAGGAGTTTTATGCCAGCGCTTTTTGTTTTGAACTTTGAGAACTGTCTACTGTGATGAAGCTGCTGATGAGGCCTCAGGAATTAATGTGCATCAGCCCACAGCCTTTGCTCACAAGTTACTCCAGCTCTCCGGAGTATCTCTCTTCTGGGAGGAGTTTTCTGCGTCAGCAAAATCTTCCCCAGTGTGTTCAACTGCACCAGCGGTAAGAAAAACAAAACGAAAAAACCAAACATTAAATCATAGATTTTTAAAAAGTTTAAATTTAGGGGCACCTGGGTGGCTCAGTCGGTTGAGCGTCCGACTCTTGATTTTGGCTCAGGTGATGATCTCAGGGTTGTGAGATCCAGCCCAGCGTCAGGCTCTGCACTGGGCATGGAGCCTGCTTAAGAGTCTCTCTCTCCCTCTCCAAAAAATAAATTTAAAAATAAAGAAATAAATGGTTTAAAGGAGGGCTATTAAATTGTGCTAGGATATAAAATACGTGTTAGTTTCCATCTGATCTGGAAGTTAACACAAATATTCAGTAATGGAGACCCACATTTCAGAGTTTTTAAAATACTCACATTTATGATTAATGCCTTTCCTACCAGGGTATAACATTGGATGCTGTGTCTTGTAGGAAAGTGGTATATTAACAACTAATACCCTTTTATAATAAAAACAAAAGCAGTGTTCACATTTACCTTACATAATGTATGGCTGAAAACTTACAAATCATATCTTAAAGTTTTATAATTAAGAAACTTTTTATTAATCCTTTCTAAGAGTAGAGAGGCCTTTTATAAATCAGTCCTTCCATAATTTATCTTTTACATTATTTCAGATTTTCATAATTATAGAATGTCTATTATGTTTTCTTATTGCTGTGATTTGAATAGATGTGCTTTTTTCCATAAAGTCCTTTTCCATGATTTGCCTTTATTACTGTTGTGTTTCATGCTAGCTATAAGACACTGGTTTATTCATTGTCACATAGTACAGCTTTTCATGTCAAATATTTTACTCTTCTTTTTTTTTTATATATATATTTAAATATTTTATTTATTTATTTGAGAGAGAGAGAATGAGAGACAGAGAGCATGAAAGGGAGGAGGGTCAGAGGGAGAAGCAGACTCCCTGCTGAGCAGGGAGCCCGATGCAGGACTCAATCCTGGGACTCCAGGATCATGACCTGAGCCGAAGGCAGTCGCTTAACCAACTGAGCCATCCAGGCGCCCAAATATTTTACTCTTCTTAAGTTGACATTTGTTTTTTGCATTTTGGTTTATTTATACTAAGATGTTCTAAAGAATTACTTTATTCTTAATTGCCTTATTATAGGAAACTGAGCCAAAGCTGTCACCTAGCTGGAATCCCAAAATTGTGTATGAGCCACACCCACAACTAACTAGAAATTTACCAGAGGTAGCACCCTCTGACCCAGTGCAGATTGGAGGGCTAACTGGTAGGCTGGAGTTGAGTCTCACATTGAAACAGAATGAAGTACTTCCTGGAGCTAAGGTCAGTATTTGTTTCATTTTCTATAGTTAAAACAGAAGTACAAGTATTCTTTAATGTGTGCAGTGACCCACCAATTGGCCACTGTGGGTTGTCCTGTAACTAGGGTGCCCTCTGTCCTGGAGTGCGTGTTCATAATCTCAGCTGGTGCCTCTGTCCTTAGGTGTCAGGGCCTCTGCTCAGGCTCAGGTATTAGTACTGTCTCCTGCACTCACTTTCCCCCATTCTAGCCGTTCAGAAACATTCATGAGTTAATAAATTAGGAATTTATTAAAGACTTTCTGTCATCATAACTTTCAGTTTAAAAGAGAAGAATATGGAAGTAAGAAGTTGACTATAGAAGGTGTTTAATTGTATGCATGTAAAAATGTCCACCTAGATGTGTTTTGAACGGAATGACCATTTTTATAGTTGTACAATGTTTATGAAAAGAGATTGATTTTGTTTTTTTTTCATGATGTCTCATGGCTTTTTGAAGACCCTGTAAAGACAACTGCACTTGGTTCTTAGGGAACAGTATTGAACAGTCTGCTGGAGAATCAGGAAGCCTATATTTATTTAGTCTGTTAAAAATGTCTTTGTGAAGTGTTATTTTCAAACTTTGAAAACTAATTTTCTATATAATCTCTGTAAAATGTAGTTTAAATTAAGAAAATATCAGGATTTGTTCATCTGTTTACTCACTGGGCTAACTAGCTGTAGATGTTGGAGTAAACTGGATGCTGGGCCGTATGCAGTTTCTTGGGTGAGATACAGAGAAGAGGGGAATACTGTCTTTGCCTTAATACAACGTATAATAAGGGGTATAGACATTGCTGTGGGGACATGGAAGAGGAAGCAACTGAGTACTCGTGCATGCACATAAGATTTTCGGACGATTGAGGATCTCCAGCAATCCATTCTTGGATTGGCACACCTGGCTACAGTTAGAAGCAGAGGAAGGTGATGATCAGAATGCCAACCTTCCTGTTGCTGATTACTTCCTCTCCTTTGTTTACCGCTCTGTCCTACTTCAGGTGGTACGAAATCCTTTCACCAGATCTTAAGCCTGTTCATAAAATAACAGGAAAGCCCTAGGTCTGTTTCAGCATGACAGGGAATCCCCTGAGGTGCTAACTTCCTTGGGGAAACTAACACACCCATGCCTCTGGGGAATTCATTAGCTATTTCTTGAAGAAGGAAGAACCATGGCAGTCACTTTTATAGTTCTGTTTTGATTAGCTAGTCCTCAACATCTGTATACTTGATCTTTATGCAGACCTGAACTTTTGCACATTAGGTGTTGATTTGTAGAAGTGCCTTTTTTAAAAAAAATTATTTATTTAGTATTATTATTTATTTATTTTATTTATTTGACAGAGAGAGACACAGCGAGAGAGGGAACACAGGCAGGGGGAGTGGGAGAGGGAGAAGCAGGCTTCCCGTTGAGCAGGGAGCCCGATGCGAGGCTCAATCCCAGGACCCTGGGATCATGACCTGAGCTGAAGGCAGATGCTTAACGACTGAGCCACCCAGGCGCCCCTGTATAAGTGCCTTTTCGATGTTACTTTTGGACATCTGTGTATTAGGTGACAAGTGAACATCTGGGATTTATAGCATGATGGCATTGTTTGCCAGCCAGTGTTTGATATTTGGAGTTATTACCATCCTTGTCTACATGGTAATTTTTGTGTAGTAACTTGAGTTTGAGTACCTTTTGTTCTTATTTAATGAAAATGAAGGCTAAAGTTCTAGATATTGAGAAACATAAATCCCATAAACTTAATGCTGTGTAGACAAAGATGGCATTGGTTAGGGGTGCTCAAGTGTCAGATCTTTAGTCTCGCCAATGTTCATTAGATCCACAGGTTTTCCAACTGGGATCAAAATGTTATGAAAGTTTTGGGGGGTGCTCCTGGGTGGCTCAGTCAGTTAAGTGTCTGACTCTTGATTTTCGCTCAGGTCATGATCTCAGGGTCGTGAGATTGAGCCCTCGCTCAGTACAGAGTCTTATTTGAGATCTCTCTCTCCCTCTTCCTTTGCCCCCCGCCCCTTGTATGTGCATGTGTGTGCTCGCTCTCTAAAATAAATTAAAAAAAATTTTTTTTAGTTCTCTGAGATGGTACCCACCCCAAATAGTGTGTCAGCTTGATAGCTCACATGTTCAGTTTTAGCATATACTTTCAGGAGTGTATAAGAAAATAGAGGAGCTGTATGTATTGAATTTATAGACATTTTGTTTAGTTATTGTCATACTGAGTTTGAAATTATTTCAGTTATGTTCTGTTTTTTCTATTTCCAGAGGAAAGTAAGAGCTGCTTTGTTCTTTGTATGCCAAATTTAGAATGTACAAATAATATTTCTATGAACATTAGAAGTGAAACTCTTGATAATCCATCCTAATAAAGGTCAGAGATTATGTTTTCAATACTAAGAAATTTAAAACCAATTTTTAAATATGGCTTGTAATCAGAAAGATTTTCCCACTGTCCCCAGCCTAAACTCCTTGCTGATTCATCGTCTGGGATGGCAGCTGTCAGCAAGGAGCTCCAAAACACAAATCCACCGAGAGCCATATCATGGGAGGAGTGAGGGCTTCCCATCTAGGTCAGCCTAGGTTAAAATTCTGGCTCTGGGTCTGTAGATGGCCTTGTGCAGATCTTTATGATCCCGTGTCCTCGTCTGTAGAACAGATGCCTTTCTAGAATGAGTGGAAATGTAATAAAAGCATAATGCCCCAACACTCAGAAAAAGGTGATAGTGAGGATTGTTATTCCTGGAGAATACATTATATTCTCCGATAATGGAAGCTTCTCGGCATTACTATGTAATATTTTTTTGTTTTTAGAATCAGAAGAAATTTGTCCAGCCTCCCCCCCCCCGGAAGATACCATTTTGCAAATATAAATGTTAATTGAATTTTAAAATTGCGAAATGATATAAAGATAATAGGAGTGTTAGCATTAGCCCTAAGAGGAGGTGAGTGAAAAGTAAGGCAGGCATACTCAACTTGTTAGAATGTGATGTAGAGGGCTCCTGGGTGGCTCAGTTGGTTAAGCGACTGCCTTCGGCTCAGGTCATGATCCCGGAGTCCTGGGATTGAGTCCCACATCGGGCTCCCGGCTCAGCGGGGAGCCTGCTTCTCCCTCAGACCCTCTCCCCTCTCATGCTGTTTCTCTCTCTCTTTCTCTCAAATAAATAAATAAATAAAATCTTAAAAAAAAAAAAAAAAAGAATGTGATGTAGAAAATAGAGTAATTGTTTTGTCAGAATATACTCCATAGGAATCAGGATGAGACCAGCTGGGGCTTTTATTTCCGTGAGGAAAAATGGACAAAGACTTGGAAAAGAGCAAGGCAGTCCACATGAGCACCCACTTCGTGGGCATCTCTGCCGTGGCCTGCGCTTTCCTGTCCAGCAGAGCAGGCTTTGTGGAACCTGCCTGCACGTGTGGAGAGGCACCCTGTTGGTAGGGAAGGGCCTCACATGCTCTGTTAGGGAGGGTTATCCATGCACGAACTTGGGAAAGCCAACTTTATTTGCTCTTGGCTTGAATCCCGCTTTGAGGATTATGATTCGAGTCTTCAGATCCTGTTGGGAATGAGTTCTGTGCTGCGTCTGTCTTCATATTCTTCCTAGTGACTGTGACTTGAAGCCTCCTCACATACCTGAAATAGTCAGAAAACTCAGAGATAAAAACAGGACATTGGACTTGCCAACATGGAATTTTGCAGGGGGATTTTCCCCCTTAGAACAACAGTTTGGTGGCCTTTAAGTCTTTCATTTAGATTGTGTGAATTAGTGGAGGGAATCTTAGGTGAAGGAATCCAAGACTTAAGTAATCAGTCATTAAAGTGTACTGGGATTTGTGGTGATGAGATTTTAAAGAGTGTTTATCCTGAATGGCTTTTTTTTTTTTTTTTTGAAGTTGGATCTTGATGGACAGATAGACTCTATTCATCTATTCCTGTCACCAAGGCAGGTGCACCTGCTTTTGGATATGTTAGCAGCTGTTGCTGGACCAGGCAAGTATGGCAATAGGCAACTCTGTTACTATTTTTGATTATTAAAAACTTTTTAGATTCTGTGATCCCTAGCTAGTTGCTTAAAGCTACTGCATAGCTCTGATTAATATTAAATAGTGGTAGTTCTGCATTGACTGTGGCATGAAGTTGCCGTTGGTATTGGACAAGTGGGTTTTGGGAGAGAGATGATTGATTAACCCCAAATTTAATTACTGTTTTGCTTTCCTTTCTATACTTGTAGAAAATTCTAGCAAAATAGGGTTAGCTAATAAAGATAGAAAAAACCGACCCATGCAGCAAGAAGAGGAATACCGAATTCAGATGGAATTAAACCGGTATTATTTGAGAAAAGATTCCCTCTCAGCAGGTGTATCTTCAGAGCAAAGCTTTTATGAGACAGAATCCGCTCATACACCTTCTAGCCGTGGTAAGCGTCTGAAACAATTGACACTGGATTCCTACAACGTTATCATAGAGCAAAGTAAACTTAATTTGGCCGTTGTGAAATGGAGTTTAGTAATGAAAGAACGAAAGATCTGTGATCTAAGAAGGTTTAAATTTGTAAGTTGATCTAACCGCAGCATAACAGTGATGCACTGGCTCATGTATCTTTTTTTGAGTGTCTTATCTCGTTTTGTAAATCATGACTTCTTTTTTATTCTAAGGACAGTCAATTTACAAAAATGTAGATTTACACAAAAGATAAATTGGGGTAATTACTCATTTTGTCAAATTCTTACATGCTCATATGATGATTTACGGTTAGAGGCCCTTAAATGGAACCTTTTTTTCTACTCTTCCATCAATTACACGTAAATACAGTCTTTACACAGTTTACTTTGCATTTTTACAGGTGTTTTAGAATGTTTAGCACTAATACCTTAACTAATAAGAATCCATTTAAGTATAGAATGTTGAACTAAATAAGTTTTAAAATCTACTCAAGAAATTTTGGTCATAACAAACTTCATTTGCATGAGAGTAAAACAACCTCCAGAAAGAAGTGAAATGTAAATAAAATTCTAAATAATACATTCAGGTTTTTTTTTTTTTTTTAAAGAGTTGTATTCATATGAAACCAGAGATTGCAAGATCTTTATACTATTTTAAAGTTGGATTTTAACTTCTAAATTGTCATATGATACTTAAAAATATACCACGTAGTACTGCAAATCTTACATTAAAAAAAAAACCAAACAAACAAAAAGCAAGTTCACCAGTAGGATAGCATAACGTTTTGTTAACTTGTATTTGGTTGAGTTTTTACTATCTTGGATCCTCACAAATTACCCCATCAGAAGTAATGTAAATTGTAGGGCATCACTGTACTTCAGATAATCTGAAGAATATTATATTAATGTATGTTAACTTAATTTAAAGACATGAATTATACAACTGACAAGGTTTCATTCTGTCTAGAAGAAGAAGTTTTCTTCTCCATGGCTGATATGGACATGTCTCATAGTCTCTCTTCTCTTCCACCTCTGGGAGACCCTCCAAATATGGACCTTGAGTTGTCATTAACTAGTACATATACAAATACTCCAGCAGGATCTCCATTAAGTGCTACTGTGGTAAAGTATTTAAATTTTGTTCTATTCTTGAAAAGTGGCCTTCTGAAATTCTACACTTTATTCATGTGATTTAAAAAACTTTTACAGCTTCAGCCAACGTGGGGAGATTTCCTTGAACATCGTAAAGAACAACCAGTAAGAGGGTCCACATTGCCGTCCAACCTAGTTCACCCACCAAATTTACAGAAGACTTGTAAGTAGTGTAAGACACTTATGGTAGTTTTCCACTGGAATTTATTTATTTTATTATTTTTTTAAAGATTTTATGTATTTATTTGAGAGACACAGCAAGAGAGGGAACACAAGCATGGGGAGTGGGAGAGGGAGAAGCAGGCTTCCCGCGGAGCAGGGAGCCTGATGCGGGGCTCGATCCCAGGACCCCGGGATCCTGACCTGAGCTGAAGGCAGATGCTTAACGACTGAGCCACCCAGGCACCCCTTCCACTGGCATTAAAAAAAAAATAAAAATAAAAATAAATTAAGTTGTTTCTTTCTAAAAAATGCCATTTTACTGCTGCTTTTCTTTCCCCTCATACATTTTTTTTTGAGCTAGGCCATTTAACAAAGTTTAGAAAGAAAATGTGAAGCATGGTTGAACAACTCAACCATGAAGTATTTTAGAATACTTGCCAATTCACTGTAGTCTTTGTGTATTTAAGTATCTTTAGTAAAAAGTACACTGTAAGTTTCATATTATTATTGTAGTTTAGGAGTCTCAGTCAACCATCAATACTTGTTACATTGTTTACACTTTCCTTGAAAGAGAACCTCAGGTCTCTTCTCCGCAAAATTTAATTGAAATAGACACAAGGCTTAAAAGAAAATTTGGTGAGCAGCTTTTGGGTTAATCTGCAACTTTTCCGATACAGTTTTATTAATGCAAAACTTTTGTTCATGTTTCTTTTTGATGCTTCAAGTATCAAGGATCCTGAATATCAAATGCAGAAAGATAACAGTTTATCTTACTTGTTTAATATCAAATATCATTCAAACTGTTGGGTGTTCACCTGCTTTTTAAACGTTTAACACATGAGTAAATGCTTTATAATTTTGATATAATGGATTGTTTTTAAGTATTAAATTTTATGTATATAATTTTAACCCATGTGTTTCAGCTCTCCCATCTAGATCTGTTTCAGTGGATGAATCCAGGCCTGAACTTATTTTTAGACTAGCTGTGGGAACCTTTTCCATCTCTGTGCTTCACATCGATCCTTTATCTCCACCTGAAACATCACTGAACCTTAATCCATTGACGCCTTTGGCGATAGCGTTCTTTACCTGTATAGAAAAGATTGACCCAGCAAGATTTTCAGCAGATGATTTTAAGTCTTTCCGAGCAGTATTTGCGGAAGCTTGCAAACATGATCACCTTAGGTAAATTCTCTCGTGTTTATTAATGATGCTTGAAAAAGAACCAGATGGGGACATTTTTATCTGCCTAACTCTGTTTTTCTGATTCGCATTTTATTTGTAAATGAGGGAATGAGTGAGGTTTTCTTGCAGTGCTACAAAAATGTTTACCATAGAATCTTTTATTCAGCTTACTTGGCATGCAAAACTATTTACATATAAGATTGAGATAATCTGGAGTTTTCTCTGCTCTTGACAATTTTTTTTAAGTTTTTTTTTTTTTTTTTTTTAAATTCATTAGAGAGCACAAGTGAGAACATGAACAGGTGGGAGGGGCAGAGGGAGAGGGAGAAGCAGACTCTGCTGAGCTGGGTGCCCAGTGCGGGACTCGATCCCAGGACCACAGGATCATGACCTGAGCTGAAGGCAGACGCTTAACCCACTGAGCCACCCAGGTGCCCTTGACAAGTTTTTTTGGACCACATTTTGCTGATTAAAATATTGACACCATTATAATCATAAAAATAGTTCTTACTGTCACTGGCTCAGTGGAGATGGCAGTGGTGGTGAGAGTGGAGTGAGCTAATGAGAAGGGATGTGGAACAACATGACCCCCATGCCACTGTCTGTGGGGTGGGGAAGGGTAACAAGGCTGATCCTGAGCCCGGATGCTACACTTTCAATTTCTGCTTTAAAAAATTAAAGCCATCTGGGGGCATGTGGGTGGCTCAGGTGGTTAAGTGTCCAACTCTTGATCTTAGCTCAGGTCTTGATCTCAGGGTCGTGAGTTCAGGCCCCAAATTGGGCTCCACGCTGGGCATGGAGCCTACTTAAAAACAATAACAAAACTTCATTAAAAAAAAAAAAAAATTAAAGCCGTTCACATAGCCAGTGATCCTTTCATGGGTTGAGTCCTAATGAATGAGGAGATAATTAAATTTGTAAGTATAATATTGTTAATATGTAAACATTGCTCATCTTAATGTGAAAGTTATCTTTCGATCATATTTTATACAACAATTTAGGCACATATTAATATTTTTAGGAAAGTTTGGCTTTTAATTTTGATTTTTTTTGAAGTATTAAAATTAATATACAGAGTAGTTTTTATACCTAGCTAAAGAGACTCTACAAGTTAGGGCCATAGTATTTATAATTAAACTGTAAAAACATTTTGACAAGGTTTCAAATGTGCCAGTAGGAAATAAAAGCAGCAAAAATAGGAAGACGACTTTCACTTGAGATCCACCCACTGAAGGTTTTTAAATATTGAATGAGGCTTTTAAATAATTTTAAGAATCTACTGCATATATTTTGAAAGATTTTTGTCCGCTGCAGTGTAAATTTTAAAATATTAAAGAAGGGAGGGCAGGGTTGGGAAATAAATATATCCTGGCTAATTTCCTATCAGAAATTGCTTTCTTATCTCAGGGAATGGGAAATTTGAAGTAGTCTTTCTGGTTAATACCCTTAGGAATATTATTATATATTAGAATATGTACTTTATTAACACTTGTGTACTATTCTTTGACACATTCGTTAACCTAGAAGTATATGAATACTCTTAAATGTTTCATTTTCTGTAATAGATTTATAGGTACTGGCATCAAAGTGTCCTATGAACAAAGACAAAGATCAGCTTCCCGATATTTTAGTACTGATATGTCCATTGGGCAAATGGAACTTTTGGAATGCCTCTTTCCAACTGATTCTCATTCTGTTCCTCCTCACTACACAGAGGTAAATGCTAGATTCTTTGTCTTTAGGATCATTCTTTAAATCTACCTTGCTTTTAAAGAGTTATATTAATAGCAATGATTTTATTTAAAAAAAAAGCATAGGAAGCCATTAGAGGAAGGAAGTGTACATGTGTACGCATTTGTATTTCGTTGAAACATTTTAAAGTATGGCATTCAAGGTCATTGTAAGAGTCTGTTAGAATTTTTTAGAGTTGACTTGTTTTAGATTGGCAGACAGATTATGGGACAGATGACTTTATTTCCCTAATTTTCCAAGCACTATTAATTTCAGAAGTCTGTTAAACGAATACTGAATACCTGCAGTGTGCTAGTAAGCACTGTTCAAGACAAGCACAGTGTCTTTTGTTTATTATTAGTCTGATTTTTTTTTTTCCCAATTCTAAAAGTGTGTGCTAGGGAAACTTTTCAAAGTTATCAAGATAACATTTATTGCTGTTAACTTTGCCCTTGTACATTATTTTATTTTCAAAGTACTTTCTTGGGCGTTAATTCACTTGAATTCTCATGTACCTTCTGCAGATGAGATACTAAGTATCACAGAAATTAACTTGTCTTAAGATTTACATTGCTTGTGAATGACCAAGATGAAATGTAAAATGAGCTTTCCTGATTTCAAAAAAGTCTTTCCACCACTAGCACCTCTGTTAATTCATGGGATGTATTACAGTTTAATACCTTACATTTATTTTTGTCTTTGTTTGTAAGCTTTTAATGTTCCATTCCAAAGAACGAACTGATTCCCATCCCCCTGTGTGTCTTCAGCTTCATTATAAGCATTCTGAGAATAAAGGACCCCAGGTAAGAAGCCTTATTGTGTGATACCACCTATAAATTTTCATTTGATATGTATTTTGTCACAATCATACAGTTTCCACTAAATTTTATAGTACTGTTAGTGATCATATTAATGTTTTTCCTTTTTTTTTTTTTAAGGGTAATCAAGCAAGACTTAGTTCTGTTCCTCAGAAGGCAGAATTACAAATTAAGTTAAATCCTGTGTTTTGTGAGCTGGATATCAGTATTGTGGACAGGTTAAATTCTTTGCTTCAACCACAAAAGCTTACTACGGTAGAAATGATGGCATCGCACATGTATACTTCATACAATAAACATACTAGTCTGGTAAGTATTCAGAACATTACAAATACTAATCCTAATTATAGCTAGCTAATGGGCTTATTGGGATCATTTCTGAGCTTAAGTATTCTTAATGGATTAAGTAGCATATATTAAAACAGTATTATTCATAATGAAAAGATGGAGACTTTTATGTCTAGATGGTAGGCTAGCTGAATAAGGTTTGCTAATATATTGAGTGAAATTTTATGTGGCCATTTTGAATGATGGTTATAAAGATGGTGTAGTCGCATGAAGAAAGCTCATGAAGGAGTATTAAGAGAAAAAGTGAAATATATTATTCCACAGAAACTTTTATCACAACTGTGTAAATAAAATTGAGGTATAGAGAAAGAATGGATAGAAATATACCAGTTGGTAGCACTGATTATGTTGGAGCATAGAATTGGATTTCCTTTCCCTCTCTGTGTTTATTTGAATTTTCTAAGTTGTGATCATAATATCTGTAGAAAATTTATTCACACCTTTAGTAAACTACCTGATCTGCCTATAAAACGTAGCCCATATATTGTAAGGTACACTTTTGAAGGTGGGAACATAATTTATAGCATTGTGTTATTGAGCATCACATTAGGTCACTTTACTTAGATCTGTCTGGTGCATGGTGTCTTTTCTAAGCAGTTTAAGTAAGTCATCATATTTGCAAGAAATCTGTGAGGAATCTTCGGCTGGAACTGGGGAGCTCTCGGACCAGGAACAGATAGAGAAAACTTTGGTTAAAAGAAAAGGGAGGAGGTGTTTTTCTACTTGTTTCTCCCTTAATTAGTGGTGGGTAGTCACATTAAATCAACATTTTTTATTTATTGTTGTCACCAATTACTAGTTATTTCAAGTTCTGTGGGGCTAGTGTGCATATTTGCTGTTAGCCATAGATGTGCTGGGATGATGGTTAATCTCTTGGGTTATTTTTGCTGAGAGTGGGGGTTAGTGTTACAAAGTCCAAGAGGGGGGAGAGAGAGAATAGGTGTGCTAAAAATCCCAGTCCAGGGTAAGAAAGGAACTCCCTAATCCAGGAGGTTAGACACTGATTCATGAAGTGGAGTGTTACCACCTGCAGTGTACTCTGGGCTAAAGCTTTAGAAGCTTCAGTACGTTTTAGAAAAACAAAAAACAAACAGAAATAGACTTTTATCTGAAGGGCATGTTCTTTTTTTTTAGATTTTATTTATTTATTTGACAGAGACACAGTGAGAGAGGGAACACAAGCAGGGGGAGTGGGAGAGGGAGAAGCAGGCTCCCCGCTGAGCAGGGAGCCCGATGTGGGACTTGATCCTGGGACTCCAGGATCATGACCTGAGCCGAAGGCAGTTGCTTAACCAACTGAGCCACCCAGGCGCCCGTGTCTTGGTTTCTAAGGGCCGTTTGATGGACTCATACCCTTGGGTTGGATGGGAGCTCAGAGTGAGTCATTTGGTGAATATTTGGAACTTAGGCTGTGCCAGGCTCTAGGCTTAGTCCTGGAAATACAGAGTCAAGTCAGGGATGGGCCCTTGCATTTGGCATGATCTGTCTTATTTCACATCAAGTCTTTAAAGGAGCATGTTGGAGATAAATCCTTCAAATTGAATGTTGAGTTGATTTTTAACTGTATTGGATTTATTGACAACCAAATTAATGCTGGTGTTTTTTAGTCTTTAGTGATAATGTGTATACATCTGTGGCACCTTTGTCTTCACTTCGGTTTGGTTTTTATTTTGATTGATTGATTTTGACTTATTTGGTTGAACTTTTGCCAGTTATTTGAAGTTTTATCGGTAACTATTACATTATAGAATTTCATTACACTAAATTAATATGGTAGTAGTTAATTTGAATTGTATTTTAATTCATTATACTGAATGAGGAAATAGTGATTATGCATATTGTAATGTTGAATATTAATGTCATTTATTTTTACCTAATTTGATGTTTTGACATATTTTTGATATTTTGTGTTTTAGCACAAGGCTTTCACTGAAGTATTTCTGGATGATTCACATAGTCCTGCAAATTGTCGGGTATCAGTACAAGTGGCCACACCGGCGTTAAACCTTTCTGTTCGCTTCCCAATACCTGATCTTCGGTCAGATCAAGAAAGAGGACCATGGTTTAAGAAGTCACTTCAAAAGGAGATCCTTCATTTAGCATTCACAGACCTAGAATTTAAGACTGAATTTATAGGAGGATCAACCCCAGAACAAATTAAATTGGAACTTACCTTTAGAGAATTAGTTGGTAAGATTGAACATGCCTGTAAGAGCCAGAGCAGAAACAAGCAACTACTACTCAAGCAAACATCATGAAAAAGTCTATGGCAGCCCCCAATATAGACAGTGTTAGAAAGCTAGAGTAATGGCTTTTTTCCAATATTGTATACCAATATATGATAGAATTGATTTTTTTTTTTAATTACTAAGCATGATTATTCACTTGATTAAAATACTTTTCTGCAGGGAGTATAGTGCTGTAGCTTACTTTTTTTTAAAGATTTTATTTGAGAGGGAGAGGGAGGGAAGGAGAGAGAGAGAGAGAATGAGAGAGAGAGCACCAGCAGGGGAGAGGGAGAGGAAGAGGAAGAAGCAGGCTTCCTGCTGAGCAGGGAGCCCGATGCAGGGCTTGATCCCAGAACCCTGAGATCATGACCTGAGCCGAAGGCAGACGCTTAACCAATTGAGCCAACCCAGACGCTCCTTTAACTTGCATTTTTATTGCCACCTGACTACTTACTTTTTGTGGGGCTGAAAGTAACCGGAATTTCTTGAGTGCCACTCTGTGTTAGGTACTGTACTAAGCACTTCACACATTACTGCTTTCCTTTCATCGTCATGGTTATGGTAGGCTTATTATTTCCAGTTATTTTTTATCATTTATAAGTGAGGAATCCATAGACTTAAGAAGAGGTACCTTCCAAGACCGTGTGGTAGTAAATGGCAGAATCAAGATTCCAACCGAAGTCTCACACTTGAGCTTTCAATCATCATACTAATCTTTGGTGACTTTCCTTTGTAAAACCTGTAGACAGTTTTTCTGTATTTGCTTTTGTCATCTAACAGAATATATATTGACTTAGGGTGAACCAGGTGTATGAGGACCTCTGGAAGATTCTGACGTTTTATTCTGTGGTTCATAAACAACTGCCTCTGCCACTTCACCCTCTCTAACCACACCCTCCCCATGCCACCATATCCTGCTCCTCCATCTCAGGGAATAGGCTGCAAAGTTTTTTTCCCTTGTTCTGAGTTTTACACATCTTTAGAGAGATTTACAATTGCCTTGCTGATTATGACTTCATGAAAGGGCCTTTAGGGGTTATCTGATCTTCTCTTATCTACAGTGGGAAGAAACTCATTATTCTGGAGGAAAGTCTTTCTTTGTAAAATGGACTGAAAAAGCATGCATAGGATTATTGTGAATGGAAGTAGTTCTTACAGTGCTTGGTACAAAACATTTAAGAAATATAGTTATTATCTCTATGTTCCTAGATTAACTGCATAAACTTTTATGTAGAATAAGCATTCAGTGGCAGTAAGTGGCAACTGCCAAATTTACTATGTCATGATTATGTACCTGACACATTACACTTGGTACCTAAGAATTTGAGTTTGAATAGAAAACATCATCATTATCTGCTCCTCCTGTCTCCCCACATGTACCCATGAAATAGGAACAAAAGAATGAGTGCTGTGCAACTTAATGTTGCACTATGTCCCTGATTGAGGAGATCTTTGCTTATGTTAGGAGGAAACTATCTTTTCTTTCAGCACTTGCAAAGAAATGCATTTTAGTTAACCAGTCTTGTTTTATTAGGGTCATTCCAGGAAGATAAAGGAGAACCATCTATTAAGTTTTTCCATGTGTCTAGTGGAGTAGATGGCGATACAGCATCATCAGATGACTTTGACTGGCCACGGTGAGTTAGCAGGTGTATATGGTAGACATTTAATGAGACCCTTTCAAAAAAATGCTGTGGTACTTTTTTTTTTTAAAGATTTATTTTTTAGGGGGGAGCAGGGGCAGAGGGAGAGGGAGAGAGAATCTTAAGCAGACTCCACGTGCTGAGCTGGAGCCCCACACAGGGCTTGATCACAGGACCCTGAGATCATGACCTGGACCAAAACCGACAGTCAGTTGCTTAACCGATGGCGCTACCCAGGTGCCCCTGCTGTAGTACTTTTAATCGGCATTTTGGCTGTTAATTTAAACTAAACATACTCAGCCCTGATGAGAGAACACAGAGAAAGATGGACAAATTAAATTGAAAAATCCATATTGAGTGTACTACTCTATGAAAGGTATGTGTCAATACTGTGAGAGATGGAGGTATAAAATGTGTTCCCTGGTCTCAAGTTACCCCGTTTAATTAGAGGCACAAAAGAATCATTAACCATTTAAAAAAATAGTGCAGAGCTACAATAGAAGAGTTATATGGCATCATTTGGTTAGTTGTTAAGTGAATTTTATAGTCCGTGATTGCTTTAGGACACTTTTTCTTTTCTGCTTTTTTTTGTAAAGATTTTATTTATTTATTTGACAGAGAGAGACAGCGAGAGAGGGAACACAGGCAGGGGGAGTGGGAGAGGGAGAAGCAGGCTTCCCGTTGAGCAGGGAGCCCGATGCGGGGCTGGATACCAGGACCCTGGGATCATGACCTGAGCCGAAGGCAGACGCTTAATGACTGAGCCGCCCAGGCGCCCCAGGACACTGTTTTTCAAGTCTGGGTTTTTACAAAACTTTTACAAAATACTCAGGGGCCCCACCCTGAGACTTTGGGATAGAGCCTGGGCATCAGGATAGTCTAAAAATTACACCAGGTGATTCCAGTGTGCAGGTGGATGTTAAGAACCACTGCTTCAGGATTTCTTAGAAGAATTAATAAAGTATATTTATTAGAGATTATTAATTATTAACATTTGTTAATTATTCATTATAATATACTGTAACAAGACTATTAATTTAATAGCCTGATAGTGGGCTTGGATATATTTAAAAGGACTTAGTTTACTTGAAATGACTTTTTATTATATTGAAAACTGAATATTTGATATCTGAGAATTAAAGTGACCTTTTTTTTGTGCCATTTTCCTGCCAGCCTTTTTTACACCTGCCCCTGTGTATCAGTCCTAGCAGGCTGTTAGGATAGGTGTGATCAGGACGTGCCTGATAATGAGCGGTTTAGTGCATGAGTTTTCATCATAAATGGATCTACTTCAGTTAATTTGGAAGCACAAGTTACATTTAGATGTCTATAAATTAGGAAACAGTCAACGACTGTTCATAACAGGAGCCAACTGGCACCACTTAACTAAGGGGAAAAACACGTCGTAGATGCCCCACAGAGGTTTGGTTTGAGGGCACCAGGCCTCCTCACGACAGAGTTGGGAAGGAAACTGCAAAGCCTTTGCTAGTGATGTGCATGGAGTAGGAAAGCAGGGGCCCAGGGCGTGGGCTCCTTTACTTCAGGTTTGTAGCTTCAATACAGCAACAAGGCAAGCCTTTTGTTATTGAAATTCCTGAAGGAAAATGCTACTTTGTTGTTGCAGTTCTAAGTTATTCTCTTGTGAGTCTTCGTTTTTCCATTTGAATAATTTCTATGATAGGAGGTCTCTTAGGTGTGCAATATTCTGTAATAGCACAACAGACCCCAGAAGCATTTGGTTTCATGAAAATAAATAGAATTGTTAGGTAAAATTTGTCGGCTATTGATGAAATTGAAAGATAATCTTTTGTCCTCACAAGGTCAGATTTTCAGTTAGCCAAGTATGAAATGTTAATAACCCTTCTTTTATTTGTTTCATCTGTTCTACATTTTGAAGTTAATAGCACACTCAAGTGGTTACATGAGACACAATTAGACTTTGTAGAAAAGCTGAATCCTATCATCGGTGGTCTTTGTATCAGAGTGCAGGAAAGTTAAAGCCTTGCTGTTCACACTTAGACCTTGATTTTTTAAATTGTCTTTGCTGTCAGAATTGTACTGAAATTAAATCCACCAGCTGTGCATTCCATTTTGGAGCGAATAGCAGCTGAGGAAGAAGAGAGTGATGGCCGCTATCAGGAAGAGGAGGAAGGGGGTGCTCATTCCCTGAAGGATGTTTGTGATCTGCGAAGACCAGCCCCTTCTCCCTTTTCTTCTCGTAGAGTCATGTTTGAAAACGAGCAGGTAAAATGAGCAATGAAGTGAGCAATGAAGGAATTATCCTTTACCATATAGCAGTCATTTTCATTCTTTGTTTTTTGAAGAAGTACTTTGTATACTGTTATTGCTGCGCTTTTAACTCTAAGACTGAATAGTATTTCTTTTCTTGGTTAAAAATTACATGCTTATTTGTTTGTTTACATATAAATTCCCATGGATAGGGCAAGAAGATGCTCCTGTTATTTTAAACATGAAATGGTTATTTCATGCTTTTTTTGCACCAAACTATTGTATTTTAGATGGTGATGCCAGGAGACCCTGTGGAAATGACAGAATTTCAGGATAAAGCAATCAGCAATTCTCACTATGTGCTGGAACTTACGTTACCCAGCATTCATGTAACACTACCTAATAAAAGCTTTTATGAGAAGCTTTATAATAGGTGAGTTTAAACACATTTAGTTGAGTCTTTGGGATTGGACTTCTCTGCCTGTCTCCCTGTTTCCCCACTTGCCCCTTTTCTTTCCTTGCTTTAATATTATCTACCATCACTGGGTACTTTGTGTGGTGTTGATTACAAAACTGTTAACCGTTCCGATGGGCTGTTGTCATAGCAGAGTTTCCTAACCAATGTGTCTGGTAACTGGGTTACTTGCATGTGAGATGTTTATTCCCTCCACCTTTGTTGGCTGTTTGCTCTCTGTCACCTTACCACAAAGTACTGAGTAAATGTCTTCTATGTGTGCAGTGACATGAAAAGAGTTGGGAGACCCCTGTATAGAGGGCCAACAGGTGCCAGGGGGGCAGCTTATATGGGGGGCTAGCACGTGCCGGGGTAGAATCAGAATCCTAGAGTCTTTGTACAAGGAGCATCTTTTTTCAGAGTTTAAAAAAGCATCTTGTTAGAATTATATAGTGTCCTTAAATATACATACCAAGCAAATATGTTGAAATAAATAGCATTCTAGAGTTAAAAGAGCCTAGACTTGGAAGACCTTCACAACTTACCTGCCCTAAGCTCAGTTTCCTCATCTGTAAAATGTAGATGATAACTTGAACCTGTCTCAAAGAGTTGTTTGGAGGATTAGATGATACAGCACTTGAGAAGTTCGGAGAATAGCACCTGGCATTACAGTAAGCACTCGGTAGTCCTCTGGTATCATTCCCATCCACTGAAGGAATCACTTCTATAGTAGACCTGAAAGGTGGTCATGTACTTTTCTAGAAAAAGATGTTCTTAGTATCGGTCATCACTAGCTTCTCATATGTAAGACATGATTCTCATTTCTATTAAGCTTTAGAAGCTGCACTGTTGTTTCTGCTGTACATTTACTTGATATCAGATATCTCTGCTCCTTTATTCCTTAACTGTTCATAATAAGCTCTGGATCTCCTTATTGCCTACCAGTGACCAGGATTGTTGGTCTTAGAATCAGAAAATTAAGTTCCAGAAAGATCTATATAGTTGAGTTGTCTTGATGATGAGATTCACAGGATAGTCTATTTGAGGTGGAGGAAGAAAATGTTAGTTCTTCTGTTCAACTTTAAAACTTTTATTTTTTAATGATTTATTTTAGAGCATGTGCGAGAGTGAGAGAGGCAGAGGGAAAGAGAATCTCAAGCAGACACCGTGTTGAGCATGGAGCCTGACACGGCAGGGCTCGATCTCACGACCCTGAGATCACAACCTGAGCCGAAACCAAGAGTTGGCGGCTTAATTGGCTTAATTGACCCTAAGTCTTTTAAAATTTATATTTTTATATTTGTTTTATATTCTACATAATGTATGTAAGTAGAAGCCTATAATTTATAAATTCATATCAGAAGGCTTTTACAGGTTTTTTTTTTTTTTTTAGCTGTTACACATAATCTAAAGTTTGGGAAACCACTGATCTCTAGACCATTCTTCTTTTTATAGTTAGGAATATTTACCAAGAGTTGACAAATCTGCAAGGCTAAGACTGAGCAAAACGAAACGACTAGTTCAGGGTCTAGCCCAGAGGTCAGAAGAGCTTAATCCATTTCTTTCTCTTTCTGCATTTGCTTGAGCAGGTGGCCATCGGTTAAATTGGGACATCAGAACAGAAATATGCACCTTAAACCTTCAGTTTATAAATATGTTCATTTATAACTTCTTTTTAAAATACAAGATGAGGCCTTTTTTTTTTTCCTTCCTTTTAATATGAGCCACAGGTTGGAAGTTTCACATAATGTATACCTGAAAGGTTTTGTTTACAGTTTTCAGTTATTGAAAAAATAGTTTCAAAGGAATCTGAGTTCAAAATCTTTCTCAGTTTTTTAAGATTTTTTCCACCTCAGTCTGTATATTTAGGTCATCTGTTAGCATAATATTGAGTTAAAGTATACTTACAACAGTAAATACAAGTGAGATGAGTACATTCGAGGCCAAACACAGTTGACACTTAGTGAATATACTGAACATAGAGCTCACCTGATAGGAACAGACTTCTTGGGTGTGCTGGAGAGTAGTCCCAAGGAGCAGCGGTTAGCATATGGGGGACGTCTGTCAGTATGGCAGGTGGGGCGGTTGATTGCTCAAGTCAGGGAACGAGAGAGTATGTGTTCTTCTGCAGAGCTGGTTAAATAGTGGTTGCTGAAGAGCGTTTCTGTTCTACCTTACTCTGCCCACTTCTCCAGCTCTCAGGTACCTACAGTTGTATAAATGTTGAAATGCTTCCTCACCCTGTGGATTTATAAATCACATATCTAAGTTCTTCAGGGTGTGAATTCTTTGCCCCTTATTTGGCTTTGAATAGGTCTGTTTTTATTTTGAGTTAATATTTTATTTTTATTATTTTTTTGAGTTAATATTATTTTAAAGTTTTAAAATATTCCCAGACTCGCAGAAAAGTTTCACGTGTAGAACATAGAGCTTTCCCCTCCCCGCCTTAACTGTTTGAGAGCCACTGACCTGATGCCCCTCCTGGAGCACTTGTGTATTTCCCAAAGACAAGGACATTCTTCCACATAATTATAATTCAACCATCAAAATGAGAAAATGAGAATATTAATATTCTGCATTACTTAATCTTCAAACCCCATTCGAGTTTTGCTAAATGTTTCAATATTGCCCTTTTTATCTATATAATTTTTTGAATTTATTTTTGGTTTTTATTTTCATACATTAAAATAACTTTCTGAGCAGGAGATATAACCAACTCTGCCTTAACGTCATACATTTTAAAATCTTGGTTTATTCCTTTAGTGCCTTAGTCAGCGGGCTCTTTTTAGATAGACAGTCTCAGGTACAGGAGAATTTTTTCCACTGAAGTCCTTTAGAATATAAAAAGAATTTTCACTAGCTTTGTTCAATTAGATATTTCCTGTCATGTTTCAGGCTCATAGCCACAGAATCATGGTGATGTGTCCTTAAATCTCTCTCTCTCTTTTTTTTAAGATCTATTTATTTATTTGAGAGAGAGAGAGAATGAATCCCAAGCAGACTCCCTGCTGATAGGAGCCGCATCCAGGGCTCAGTTCCACAACTCTGAGATTATGACCTGAGCCAAAATCAAGAGTTGGCCACTTAACTGACGATGGGATGCCCCTGTGTCCTTAAGTACCTTAAGTGTTTTCTTTCTTGGTATTAGAAACCTCATCCAATGTTTTACAGTATTAATGATATCAAGACTGGGTTAACATGTAAATAAGGAAAATGCAAAATCATATAAAACTTATATTTAGGTTTTACATAAATTAATACTTTCTCTTACCTATGGAGATAAGAGAATGGTTGTAGGGAATAAGGTAAAGGAAGGGCATTTCCTGAGAATTTCCTGAGAAAATTCTTGATTTTTTTGTCATTATTTATTTACAGAGGAGTTTAGAGTAAGATCTGGGTTTAGACTCTTTTGTTTCTTTGTCCTGTGAGCAATATATCCAAGAAGCAGTGAGCCAGTGAGTATCACAGTTTGGGGGCATAGCTGTCATTGTATCTGAGATGAGACTTACGTATCCCTAGTGTTCTTCACCTGTTGATGGTTCCAGATGGAGAGCTTTTGGGGTGGGGATTTCAGTCTACTGAGAGTCACGATACTCAGTCCTGGTGGTTTATACTTTCTAGGGCTTCAGAAGCTTAGGAATTGGCCCGGGAAGTTCCTAGACAAGTGGCTTCTCGCAGGAAGGGCCAGGGGGGCACTTTGATTGGTATTCACACTAGGCTTTACGAGGAGGCTGGGCCTTTGGCATTCCTGCCATGTGAGTCGCCCACTGGTCCTCTCATCATCAAACCCTCAGTGCCTGCTACGTGACAGCCACCGTGCTATAACGATGCCACACATATAAAGATGACCAACACCTAAGGCCCTCTCTCTGAGAGGCTCCAGTCTCGGAAGCGGAAGCAAGAAAATACTGTGGTAGGCACCATGACAGAGTTATGTATGTGAAGGATTCACTGTGGGTCCAGATCTTAACAACAGGCTTCAGAGAAGACATTGTGAAGTCTGAGTATTTATAAAAATGTAGAGCAGGGGTGATCTTGGGGGGCGGGGGCGGGGTAGGAGCAGGAGGGCATCTGAATAGTGACAGATATTTCTTTGAAAAAGTAGGATGTGCTGGTAGTCTAGCTTGATGGGTATCACCCATTAATCACTAGTATTGACTTGGCTGTGCAGCCAGTAGAAGGTTTCCTTTCTTTGTTCCGTTTTGTATGCATTCTTAGTCCATGCACACTTCCCAGGAAAGCTGTGCTTTCTGTTGGGGTGGTGGGGTGGGCGGGGGAGAGAGAGAGAGAGAGGAACAGTGAATAAGGAGGAGAGCTGAATTGGGAGCTGGACAAAATCCGGGCTGTGGCCCCAGTCCTTTCACAAATTAGCTGTATGACCTTGGGCAAGGCACTTAACCTTTATGAGGCAGTTTCTCCAAGTGTGAAGTGAGAGTAATGATTCTTGGCTGCCCCATGGGTTTGGGGGTGGGGTGGGGTCAGATGAGACAGTGCGTGGTGTATTATAGTTTACAGAGTGCTCTCCTGTGTGAACAGTCTTTCCTTTGTTCTTTCCAGTTTTTAAATTAACTTTTTCCTCTAAAGTGCATTTAGCTGTATGTAATTTGATGTACACAGCATAGGTAAAACCAGGCAGGTAGCTAATTAGGTACCGAATTGTACAGATTCCTTTCTCACTGTCCTGCAGTCAAGCTGTATCAGTAACTTTTCCATTGAAAGGACATAATTAATACTTAAAAGAAAACAAAACAGAAAGCCCTCCTTTGTAGGATCTAATTTCTATTTCCCATTTAGAAAAATTATTATTCATGTGACTTCTTAAAGACATGTTCTTGAGTTTACCTTCAGTTGAACTATGAGTTACGTATTTTTCAACTTTTGTCTTCCACAGGATCTTTAATGACTTGCTGCTGTGGGAACCAACAGCTCCATCACCAGTGGAGACATTTGAAAATATTTCCTATGGTATTGGTCTTTCTGTAGCCAGTCAGCTGATTAATACCTTCAACAAAGATAGTTTTAGTCCATTTAAATCCACAGTTCACTACGGTAATATATTTTAAATTTGTTCTAACTTAAAATGCCAGGCTTAGCAATAAAGTAGTAACCTTTTCAACTGATAGATTTTAAAATGTTTCTTGGATATTTTCCCCTCGTAACTATATTTTATAATACAGTAATTTATAGTATTTCTCCACTTGTATCTACATATTGAGAGTATTATCAGTTAAATATATTATCTTTATAGTGATAGTATGTACATTGGTTTAAGTTCAGTGGGAAAGAGAAAAATACAGAAAGTACATTTTTATTGTCATGCCAGATTCTTGGTAAAAAAACAGGTTGTAAAATAAGTATTTTTGTGATAATATTCCAGTTGCTATTCTGTTTCTATAGCTGTCCAAACCATATCACTATGACATTTATTTCTCACAGATGAGGAGAGTGGATCTGAGGAGGAGACGTTGCAGTATTTTTCTGCTGTGGATCCCAACTATCGTTCCCGTAGGAAAAAAAAACTAGACTCTCAGAACAAGAACTCGCAGAGTTTTCTCTCGGTTCTTCTGAGTATTAACCATGGACTAATGGCAGTGTTTACAGATGTCAGGGTAAGGATTTGCAAAGCCAAAGTGTTGTTTCAGGTGTATCTTATTTTAAATGGACCGTGGTTACACCTGCCATCATTGAGGTGGCAGGAGGTTGTTTCAGTGCCTGAGAAAGGTTCTGCTGTGATTGTGGCTTTGGAGAGTAAGCTTTTCACTGCGGATCACAAGACAGACCTTCTGTGGACCTTCTTTTGGCAAATGTGCTGGTTCTGCTGCTGAGGTGATCACTAGTAATTTACCTGTTAGAGAGGAGGGTGAAGTACAGGGATTCATTCTGCAGGGGGGACCCTGCATAGCATTTCATGCCACCATGTTGCATGGTTGGAGAATCAGACCGCTTTGCCGCCATGTGGGAGAATCTTCTAGGCTGAATCAGGAAGGAGCAACCCAAGGGGCATTCTGACTTTTCTGCATTTAAATAATGACTTCTATGTTTTTCTGATCTTTTTATTAGCAAGATAATGGAGAGCTGTTGGAAAATAAACATGGCGAATTCTGGTTAGAGTTCAGCAGTGGTTCGTTGTTTTGTGTGACCAAGTATGAAGGCTGTGATGACAAGCACTACATCTGCCTTCATTCCAGTAGTCTCAGTCTGTACCACAAAGGTAGGACACATGTTGAATGTGTGTTCTGTTCACCTCTGTTCAGACCCATTGAAATTTTGTTTAATAAAGTTTTTTTTAACCTCCCACGGCCCTCCCACCCCCCACCCCCCAGCACTAAATAACCTCGAATCTACTTTGCCTCTGTGGGTTGTGTATTCTGGATGTTATGGAATGATATAATATATAGTCTTTTGTGACTGGCATGTTTAATTTGGCATGATGTTTTCAAGGTTCATCCGAGTGTAATAGTATTTTATTTCTTTTATTGCCAAATAATATTCCATTTTATGGATGTGCTGTATCTTACTATCCACTGATGAGTTGATGGGACTTTACATTCATTACTCTCTCTTAAGCAGCATTTCCTTTTGGTAACAAAAGGAATTTACCATCTTTTGAGCACATTCCCTGTTACCCTGTGAATGGAAGATACACATTCTTTTTTTCCTCCCAAAGTGTAAAAAACAATACTTTGCACAGTCTTAATGCTTATCAGATTTTTCTATTTAATTTTCCTAGCATTTCATCTTAATTTTTTTTTTTTTTAAAGTAGAGTACTGTCAGTCATACCAACATTAGCAGAGAGGTATGGATTATTAATGCCAAGCTGGTTGTTGGTCATTTTGCCTCCAGGATTATAGTGTATTCAGTGGGAGTATATGGATTTTTGTTTTGAGTTGTGAAAGTCTGTGAACTAATTTCAGGTTATCATTTTGTTATATTGTCACCTCATTGTCGATGTAGGTGTAGTAGATGGAGTGATTCTTCCTACAGAAACACGACTGCCCAGTTCAACCCGCCCACACTGGTTGGAACCTACTATTTATTCCTCTGAAGAAGATGGCCTCAGTAGAGCTTCTTCAGATGGCGTTGCAGGAGACACTTTGAATATGCTCTCTGTTGCAGTTAAAATACTATCTGATAAATCAGAGTCCAATACGAAGGTTTGTGATTTGTACTTTTATACCATTAAAGACTTGCCGTTCATTTGATTACTAGCTAAAAGTGATTGCATAAAAGCAACACATTTATTTTCTTAGAAAAACTTTCCAAGTTTTGAATTAGAGGGTCATGTAGGTGATCAGTGTAACTTTTTGTGTCGTCTGTACAGGAATTTCTCATTGCTGTGGGGTTGAAAGGAGCCACACTCCAGCACAGAATGCTTCCTTCTGGGCTTAGCTGGCACGAGCAGGTGCGAGTTGTTTTGTACATATTGATTTACTTTTTACTTTATATTGACATGTAATACACAGACTGTAAAGTCATAAATCGGAAATGATCAGTGTGCATAGAAATATTGTTGAAGGAAACACTCCTATATAACCACCTCTTAGGTTAGGAAATAGAACATTATCACCACTCCAGAACGAAATTGATTTTTTACCTTAAAGTTTCGACCCTAAACATCTCAAAGACAGAGTTATCTTTTAAGTCGTTTAAGGGAAGGGACTCCGTGTCCCAGAACCTGTAGAGTACCAGGCACAGAGGAGCAGCAGGTGATGCACTGACTTGTGCTCACTCCGTACGTGCCGTCATTTCACAGTTACTCCCTAGGCCAATGACATGCTTCGAGGCATTTATAGAGATTTCTGTAATTAATCTCCAGTGTTTGATTAATGCAATACAGTTCTTTTCTGTTGAGAATGAAAATTAGTACACTGTGACTCTTGTTCATTTTCCTTAGAAAGAGGAGCTTTTTCTTTGTGCTGGAAAATAATAAAATATTTTATACCTGAAAGTTTTCAGAGCGCTTTCATAAAAGCATTTAGGAGACCTGAGGAGACCTAGATCTGTGTAGCAAGGGTAGAGAGATGGTTGATGTGAACACTGAACTCCGTTGTAAGGGGGAGGTTTAATCTAACCTCATTTAGATAGAAATACAGGAGAATAGATGTTAGTAAGAGGATCTGGTTTTCAGACTGAGCTAGGTATAATTTAAGGAAAAATAACTTTTCCCAAAAGTGGATTATGTAGACAACCAGATGGAGTGTTAAGTAATCTTTAGCAAAGTTTATTTTTTTCAAGAATTGTCCCAAGCAAAATAATATGCAAGCATAGCATATTATACATACTTTAGTTTGTATAATGATTTTGATATGAATCATATCTTTGAGAAGATACAATTTTCTCAAGACTTCTGTAGCATTGCAGTTGTCAGATGGGACTCTCTCTTCATTTCAAACTCAAGTGGTTTTGCAAATACTTTTTAAAATGAATTACTTCAAAATGATGATTTTTTTTTCCTTTTAGCATTGATTCCCCCCCCAATAAATCATTGCTTTTTCTTTTTTCTTTTTTTTTTTTTTTTAAAGATTTTATTTATTTATTTGAGAGAGAGAATGAGAGAGAGCACATGAGAGGGGGGAGAGTCAGAGGGAGAAGCAGGCTCCCTGCCGAGCAGGGAGCCCGATGCGGGACTCGATCCCGGGACTCCAGGATCATGACCTGAGCTGAAGGCAGTTGCTTAACCAACTGAGCCACCCAGACGCCCCTAAATCATTGCTTTTTCTGTGAGATATTTTACATTGGTACTAAAGATATCCTGGTCACAACTTTTTTTTTTTTCTTCTAAAGCAGGGCATTTTATATTTTTGTGATTACAGATTTTATACTTCTTGAATATTGCTGATGAACCTGTTCTGGGATATAATCCTCCAACTTCGTTTACAACTTTTCACGTTCACCTCTGGAGCTGTGCACTTGATTATAGGTCAGTTCACAAGTGGAACAAAATAAAGCTTTATTCAAAATATGTACTGTTTTGAAAAAATGCGTAATTCAAATTGTAGAGTTAAGGTTCAAAATGCTCTTTTAAGGGAGTTCCTGTTGTTTTAGCAGACTGATATTGTTTGTTTCTTTTTGGTATTAGGCCTCTTTATTTGCCGATTCGATCTCTTCTCACTGTGGAAACCTTCAGCGTTTCCAGTAGTGTGGCCTTGGACAAATCCTCATCTACTCTCAGGTGCCTGGGTAAACTTCACTGTCTGCTAAATGCAGCTGTTCCAAACATGCTACCTGTTGCTCAGCTGAAGTCTTTGAAGTCTCACCCTTTTGTTAAAAATCAGCATTCTTTTACTCGTAGTCATGTCCCTTTATCCAGGTTTTCAATTTTTCATTTTCGAATGATTCGTCCCATCTCTTCAGTTTATCACTGTTTTTTATTTTTAGGGAGGAAACGAATTCTTGAGATTGATAGTTTACTTTTAAAAACAGAAATCTAAACTTCCTATACTGCCTGATAACACTTTATTTTCATAATTTAGATAATTTAGATCTATTGAAAAATGCTGAAAATTTAAAATTAATTTGAGCTGATGATTCAGTCTCATTCTTTACACCATTTAAATATTTCTAGCACTCAGAAACAGTGAGTTTTAAGGAAATGTTAGATGCCACTTGTAAGAAACTACATGACTTTGATAACTTGTATATCAGAAGAATGATACAATGAAGTATGTCATGATCACGTGTCATGTATTCAAAGTTAATTTTTCGATGTTGATTTTATATTCTTTCCTCAGAATAATCTTGGATGAAGCTGCCTTGCATTTGTCTGACAAGTGTAATACTGTTACTATAAATTTGAATAGAGGTAAGAGTTGAAAAACAAAATCTGAGATAGATGAATGTTCTTTAGTTTTTGTATGAATATTTTAGAGCGTTTGAACTCTGGAATAATGCTATTGAACTAAGGATCTTATTAAATACCAGTTTGAAGTTGTAATGTCCTTAGAACATCAGTTAAGTGCATCAAATTATATGTACTCTATTTAATACAAGATTAATTTTGTTCCTAAGTAAAAAAAGGGAATTGTAGGACTTTTATAGGATGAAACTATATTTCCATTCCATTCTAAATATTTGTACCACTAACTGCCATGAATTTTAAAGAGATGCTAGTTTTATTACGTGTTGGTTGGATACATATTTTTTGAAAGCTTTACTCAGATATTTTGTTAATTTAAAAAATTTTAGATTATGTTCGTGTGATGGATATGGGGCTTTTGGAATTAACCATAACTGCAGTGAAATCTGATTCTGATGGAGAGCAAGTAAGTTACTAAAAGAAATTTTTACTTCTATTTTTTTTTTTTAAAGATTTTATTTATTTATTTGACAGAGAGAGAGAGATGGCAAGAGAGGAACACAAGCAGGGGGAGGGGGAGAGGGAGAAGCAGGCTTCCTGCCGAGCAGGGAGCCCCACATGGGGCTCGGTCCCAGGACCCTGGGATCATGACCTGAGCCGAAGGCAGACGCCCAGTGACTGAGCCACCCAGGCACCCTTGACCCCTGTTTTTTTATGAGAGACTAAAGAATAATTGAATTTATTATAAAATTATTTTGGTCAAAAGTAGATAAAATATTTTAAAATTACGATATAGTTATAAATATGTATTTCTTGTGGCAAGTAAAATTCTGTTCTGTTTTATTTAATGTGAGCCTATGCAAAACAAGAAATTTTTAGCTCTTGTTTGAAAAACCTGTTCCTTTCTTTTCCCTTGTGTCCATCCAGACTGAGCCGCGCTTCGAGCTACACTGTTCCAGTGACACTGTCCATATCAGAACGTGCTCGGACTCTTGTGCTGCTTTAATGAATCTCATTCAGTACATTGCAAGCTATGGGGACTTACACGCAGCAAACAAGGTGGAGACGAAGCCTGGAGCCTCTCACAGAAAGATGAAGGTATAGCCAGCAACATCTTTTATTAGAACTAACTCACCCCAGACACCTTGCAGCCATGGGCGTGATGTGTGTGCGTCAGCGAGGTCTTCATGACAGTCATGAGGTAGAAAAGAAACTTTGAAAAATCACCTGTCTGTTCTTGACCTTCAGAGTGATGCGTCTGGGAAGGTGATTCCGTAGGCCTTCTTGGAAAACCATTCTGCTGTTTGGTGTTCTTTGTTTCAGAACATTAATCTTCTCAGCCCACAGAATACTTTCTTCCAGACTTGAGTTATTTTCATCTCCCCTCCAGGAAGAAAGAAAACATTTAGCATTGCAAGAGCTTGTTCTGTGCCAGTCTTATGTAAAAATGCTTAGGAGAGGAGAGGTACAAGTGTTAGTGTTATTACCAGAAGACTTAGGTTATCTTTTATTTGTTACATATGATTCTGTTGGGTTTTCAGTATATTTTCTTGTTTGTGATTTCTTTGAATTCAGTGTGGTAGGTTAAAGATTATCATCTCCGTTTTACAGATGAATAAGTTAAAACCCAGAGAATTAGGCTATTTGCCCAAATTAGTAGGATTAGCAACAAAACCAGATACTTTGATTTCTGGGTCGGTGCTTTCTTATGCCCCCAATTGTCACCTCTCTGTCCTCTCTTAGGTACAGATTGAACGATGTCCGGTTTGTTTAGCATTTTTAACTTTTTAGTGCTTTTTCATTCTTTATCGTGGCCCGCTCTGTGAACAGGATTCTCAGTCTCTTAGATAATGGAGCCCCTAGTGAAGGTCCTTGTCTTGTTCAGATGCTCTTACACTTCATTCGTGTTATGCTTTGGGTTTTGACTCCTTGCTTTTGCTCTCTTCTCACTGACAAGAAGACAATTCATGACCCTCCCTCTCCACTGTTTGTTTTCTTTGTATAAACATTCTCCAGTTTATTAAACGTTATTTTAAATGATCCCTTTCAAATTGGATCTTTCCATTTTAGAGTCATACTCCCATTTAAAAAGCATGGTCTGGATTTAATGAACCCACAGTTCATTAACCAAAATGGTTAAGCATCAGCGCTGGAGTTGAACCCCGTGAGTCCCCACTTAGTTGATTTCCCCTGCTCTGTGTGCCCCCTACTATCCTTCGGTGTCCGTCCATTCCAGGACACGAGACTCTGACTGCCAGCGGCTTTGTGTCCAGGGGGTGAGAGTTGGTGCAGCTGCCAGATTTGAGCAGCTCCCGCTCTGCAGAAGGAGACTTCTCCTCCCCAGGCCTCACTGCAGTGTTCTTAGCTCCTTTGTCCTCTAGTGTGCGTGCTCGCCACTGTCCCGGCTCACGGTGCTGGCTTTGAGGTGATGGCGCATTTGTTTCTGTTGGCCAGTAGTTGTTGGGGTGATGATGATGCTAACAACCTAGAAGGCTACAGCTGCAGGGCAGAAGGTGGAACGATGGCTGTGTTCCTGTTTCCGGTGTCTTTGTAAAATGCCTTGTGTTTCTAGGACAACATCATGCTGAGTAGTTTGCTTCTTAGAGCATTTTCAGTTATTTTTTTTATTTTTATTTTTTTTTAAAGATTTTATTTATTTGAGAGAGAGAGTGAGAGAGAGAAAGAGCACAAGAGGGGGGGGGGCGGGAGAGGGAGAAGCAGACTCCCTGCTGAGCAGGGAGCCCGATGCGGGACTCGATCCCGGGACTCCAGGATCATGACCTGAGCTGAAGGCAGTCGCTTAACCAACTGAGCCACCCAGGCGCCCCAGTTATTTTTTTTTTTTTAAGATTTTATTTATTTATTTGACAGAGACACGGCGAGAGAGGGAACACAAGCAGGGGGAGTGGGAGAGGGAAAAGCAGGCTTCCCGGCCGAGCGGGGAGCCTGATGCGGGACTGGATCCTGGGACTCCAGGATCATGACCTGAGCCGAAGGCAGTCGCTTAACCAACTGAGCCACCCAGGCGCCCATTTTCAGTTATTTTTAATTAGGTGTTTTGGCTGTAGGTAGATTCCAGCGGTCGCTCCTCCTCACAGGGTCCAGTACTTCCTGAAGCAGACCAGCAGATGTTACGCGATCTGATGAGTGACGCTATGGAGGAGGTTGACCTGCAGCAGGCCGCCGCATCCGCGCAAGCCCAGGCTAACGGTAGGACGGGCCGGGCCTTCCTCCCCAGGAGCACTGGGGCCTCACTTGAGGCTTATGTTATTTGTACGCTTATAAATTCTGCAGTAAGTAACTTATTAAAGAAAAGACAAGTCTGAGGTTTGGTGGATATTTATTAGTCCATCTGCTTGTGTTGATTGAGCGTCTAGTAGATAAATAACCACTGGCCAGGGTGTTGTGTGGGTTACAGATTAAATGAAAGACAAAGCTTATCTGTTCTGTTAGCTTAGAGTTTCATAACACAGATTGGCACTAAGCCAGACTGATGTTCTTACTTAGAATGTTTGAGAAATGATATGAGAAAGTGCTTCAGAGTGTGTCACATCCTCAACTACCGGTTGGAAGGGATTGGAATTGTCTCATTAGATTTCAGTGAAAGTGAGAGGAGCTGGCTTAATTTAATTTAATTTTTAAAGAGTTTATTTATTTATTTGACAGAGACAGAGATAGCAAGAGCAGGAACACAAGCAGGGGGAGTGGGAGAGGGAGATGCAGGCTTCCTGCGAAGCAGGGAGCCTGATGTGGGACTCAATCCCAGGACCCCGGGATCATGACCTGAGCCTAAGGCAGATGCTTAATGACGGAGCCACCCAGGCGCTCAAGTTGGCTTAATTTTAAAGAGTGGCTGGGGTTTAGGTATGTGGAGGGGAGAGAGAAGGTAGTCTTGGCAAGGTCATGAATGTTGACAGAGGCACAGAAGCATGCAGAAGCCTTAATTATCTTGCAGCTCAGGCTCTTACTGGAACAGAAGCTCCCTTCTCATTGGAAAGACTTGGCCAGCAAAGTTGGATAAGCAGGGAGGAACCAGCCAGTGGGAGAGCCTTGAAAGCCAGCTGGAAGCATCTAAATACTTTGAAGCATCTATCTAAAAAATATTTTTTTCTAATTGAATACATAGTCGTTTCTATATGTTCTGAAATCTTAATTTTTAAAAAATTATTTCATGGTATTATCAAAGTTTAGGGTTAAATTGTTGCTTTTATTCTAATTTAGCATAAATTAGAACTCAGGAAAGAAATAGGAACTTTTAGCTTCCTGCATATTACATTATCTATAATATTAGCAGCTAACCTACTTAGGTGGGAAAGAATGTTTCGTGAATATTTACTGAACAGCTTCAATATTCAGGTGCACCAGGCATTTATAAAGGGTGAATAAGTCCAAGGTGCTGCCATAGAAGAATTTAAAATTGGTCTGTGAGCCTCTTGAGGCTAAAATATATTATTCATCTTCACGTTCTCAGCCCTTATCACAGTGATTGGAATGACTGACGGAATGGAGAAAGAATTAGTGGATCTACTATGTATTAAAAATGCATAAAGGTGTATGTTCACAGTACAGATTTTGTCATACATGCAGTCTTTTGTGAACCACGTTGACAGCTACCTGAGAACAGGTGGCCCGTTGGGTATCCAGTGCCCCACAAAGTAGTCTGTTGATTGTAGGGCACCACTCCCTGGCCAGAGACCTGCTTGGCCTCTGTTTTCCCCCCTCCCCTCTATAAGCAGAGATTTCCTGTAGTTTTAGGGGAGGCACTGCCAGATGTTACCAGTTGTTCCTCCCCTTGCAGTATTGCTCCGGAAGTTTCCAGATCTCCACCCACAGGACAGAGTTGTCAGAATGCAGTTCTGGCTTAAACAAAACTCCAGTCAACACTAACCCCCTGCTGCCATATTTCTGAGCTTCTCTAATGCGAAATAACTTAAGAGGAGACTTGCTATGACTTTATGAGACCATCATTTACTGTTCTCCTAGAGAACTTCAAACTTATTATCAGTCTTTTTATTAGTAATCGGAGGGTTATTGTAAGAAATAAATAAGATATTGCAGGTGAAAACATTTCAACATAGTGTGTATCTGACATGTGGTTAAAATGTTTACTAAGCATTACTGTTCAAAATGTGCCAAAATTGAGTGTTGTATTCTTTTTTACCTAGGTGTTCTGGATGAAAAATCTCAAACTCAGGAGCCATGTTGTTCAGACCTCTTCCTGTTTCCAGATGAGAGTGGGAACATGTCCCAGGAGCCTGGCCCTCCTTACCCCTCATTCACACACCACTTGATTAGTGATGCAATGGCAGGTGTGCCCACTGAGAATGACGACTTTTGCATTCTTTTTGCACCAAGAGCAAACATTCAGGTAATAAATGGATAATATAATTGAGGCCTTAAGGTAGTGTTACAGGTTGAATTGACCAAAGGGTACCTGAGGAACAGTCTTCAGATTTTTTTATAACTCTTGGCAGTTCACAGTGACTTCATTTTGTAATTTATTATTGAGGCTTTGCAAATGTTTACTATACTTTACTATTTCTGTGACACATCGCTCTAAAACTCAGAAGAATGCTCAATATTTGCAAAATTTAAAAAATGATTTTTTTTTAGATTTTATTTAAATAGTTAACATATGGTGTATTAGTAGTTTCAGGGCAAAATTTTCTACATAGATCATTAAACTACAGATGTTGTACATAGTTAGCTCTTCAGGGCAAGGAAATGGTGAAAGGAGTGCTATCCAGAGTTGCTAGTCCAAGAATTGGGAAAGGTAAGACATGGTTTGTGTGAAGGCTGATGGATGGTTGATAAGTGTAATTGCCATGTGAGAATCATGCTTCCATTTAAAAAGTATGGTCTGGATGTAAGGAATGCACAGTTCACTAGAAGGGTTAAGCATTGGTGTTGGAGTTGAACTTCATGAATCACCATTTAGCGTATATACATATTAAACTGCTCAGTAGTAACTTGATGAATGTATTTGTTTTACTGCATCCTGGGAAATAAAAATCGGTCAAACTCAGGATAACTTCATTATTAGGATCATGGTAATTTGGTCAGTATGTTGAAGTATGTTAAATTTGGAATGTAGTTTTGACTTTGAATTAAAGAACTATAAACAAACACACACACACCAGATACACACCCACATCAGCACACACCCACTAAATCTGTGCCTTTTTATTTTCAAATGGTAAAAGCTAGATTGAAGACTATGAAAGACTCCTTGTGGAGTGATTTACATATGAACAAAAAGTCCACTTGATGCTGAATAATGCAGGGTATCCAGTGTGATGATTAATATCAGTACTTGCCCATTTCATATATTGATATTGCTATTAGAAAGAATGCAGAGTCAGGGCGCCTGGGTGGCTCAGTTGGTTAAGCGACTGCCTTCGGCTCAGGTCATGATCCTGGAGTCCCAGGATCCAGTCCCGCATCGGGCTCCCTGCTCGGCGGGGAGTCTGCTTCTCCCTCTGACCCTCCTCCCTCTCATGCTCTCTCTCACTCTCTCTCTCAAATAAATAAATAAAATCTTTAAAAAAAAAAAAAAAGAAAGAAAGAATGCAGAGTCAAGAAATCTTGAGATATGCAACATAATCAGTGGTTTCTACTGAGATAAGACCGTGTGTGTTCCCTGTTTATTTTAGGAGAAGGAGGAAGAGCCAGTTGTAAAAGTGATGGTCGATGATGCGATTGTAATAAGAGAGAATTACTTTAGTCAACCCGCTAAGAAGACGGACACGAGCAAAGCCCCATTACACTTTCCCATCCCTGTCGTCCGCTATGTTGTTAAAGAAGTCTCTCTCGTTTGGCATCTTTATGGAGGAAAGGATTTTGGAACAGTCCCTCCTACTTCTCCAGCTAAAAGTTACATGTAAGTTGATTTCTACATAAGTTTTTTTTTTTTTTTTTACAAGCCATTCTTTTCTTTTCTTTTTTTTTCTTTTCTTTTTTTTAAAGATTTTATTTATTTATTCATGAGAAACAGAGAGAGAGAGAGAGGCAGAGGGAGAAGCAGGCTCCCAAGGAGCAGGAAGCCCGATGCGGGACTCGGTCCCAGGACCCCGAGATTATGACCTGAGCCGAAGGCAGACGCTTAACCATCTGAGCCACCCAGGCGCCCTTTTTTTTTTTTTTTTTAAAGATTTTATTTATTTATATTATTTTCTTTTCTTAGAAAAAGAATTTGTCATTTCTTAAAAAAAAGATTTTATTTTTTTGAGAGAGAGCACACGTGAGAGAGAGCATGAGCCAGGGTGAGGGACAGAGGGAGAAGCAGACTCCCCGCTGAGCAGGGAGCCTGATGTGGGGCTCGATCCTGGGACCCCGGGATCATGACCTGAGCCGAAGACCGATGCCTAACCGACTGAACCACCCAGGCGCCCCTAGAATTTGTCATTTTAAGAATTATTAATAAAGTAGTACTGACAACTGTGTAATTTAAATGTTACTCTTTTAATGTTAAAACTTTTCATTTGTAAACTTAGTTGCATTGTTTATATATTTACTGAAATATGGTGACTTAAGTGATTGCCATTCACCAAAATATTTTGGGTACCTACCATGTGCTGGAGCCTGTGTTAGAGGCACATTCACTAAAATGAATAAGGCCCAGGGGCGCCTGGGTGGCTCAGTGGGTTAACTGTCTGCCTTCGGCTCAGGTCATGATCCCAGGGTCCTGGGATCCAGCCCCTGCATCAGGCTCCCTGCTCAGTGAAGAGCTTGCTTCTGACTCTCCCTCTGCCCTCCTCCTCCCCGCTCCTGCGCTCTCTCCTCCTCCCTGCTCCCGCGCTCTCTCCTGCGCTCTCTCATGGGCTCTTTCGCTCTCAAATAAATAAAATCTTAAAAAAATAAGACCCACACCCTTCCCTCCATTCAAAAGGACCATTATGTAAGCAGATGAGGGCAATGAAGTGAAGCATGTGCCTCAGGGGGCAGGCCCTGAATCTCTGGCATCCAGCAGAGTGCCGGGCAAGGGGTTGATGCTCCTGAAGTACTTGTTAAATGAGTGTGTTGTTGGGTGGAGCTAGAAGAGGACTAGCCAGCCTAGTCCTAGGTGCAGTGGGAGGGAACATTCTCATTAGGGTGGGATGATCAGAAAAGGTTTCAGGGAATGGTAATCTTTGGCACAACAGTGTAGAGACTTCCTATTTAAAAGTGATTTTTAGGGGCTCCTGGGTGGCTCAGTGGGTTAATAAGCATCTGCCTTCAGCTCAGGTCATGATCCCAGGGTCCTGGGATTGAGCTCCCGCATCGGGATCCCTGCTCAGCAGGGAGTCTGCTTCTCCCTCTGCCTGCTGCTCCCCCACTGTTTGTGCTCTCTCTCTCTCTCAGAAATTAATAAATAAAATCTAAAAAAAAAAGTGATTTTTAAAAACTTCCTTTTCTATATCAATTGGGATTTTTAGGACTTGTACTCTGTAAGGAGTTTTTGAAGTAATAAGGAACTTCTCAGGAGGTCTCGTTTTTCCGTGTCCTGTTATATGAACACCAACACCATAGTTAGGTTTTTCTTTAGTTCTAAATATTTAGCAGGCAGTTGATTGCCGCAATGGCAGTAATAAAATTCATGTTCTCAGTGTCTCCGAAGCATAAAGATGTGGCTTTGATATAGAGAAATGCAGTTTGTGGCAGAGTGTTGGTAGTTCTGTAATATTATTTTCTCTTTTTATCTTTCTATTTTTCCTGAGGTCATTCATTGCCTTTCTTTGAATATTTCCTTTAACAAATTTTTTTTTTTCCTATTTATAGCAGTCCCCACAGTTCACCTTCTCACACTCCCACAAGGCATGGACGTAACATGGTATGTGGGGGAAAAGGAAGAAACCATGACTTTTTAATGGAAATACAGTTAAGCAAGGTAAGATGGCATTTTGAAAGGAAAAAGCCACTGAAGTAGGAGCATTAATGGGGGTTCTTTGGTTGCTCCCCAGCCTTGTGGTCTTGAGCCATAAGTGCCAGCCCTTTGGATTGGAAAAATGCAGGGGTCTTGTAAAACTTCTAACTTTTTCTTTCTCAAATGTTCCGAGAAGTTTGAGGGGTTTTGTTTTGTTTTTGTTTTCCCAGGCTGTCCCTAGAGGAGTGTCTCTCAGAGTTGAGCAAGCATCAGAATCCCCTCGAGGGCTTGTTAAAACACAAGTTGCTGGGCCCCAGAGTTTCTGAATCAGTATGAGGTGGGGCCCATGAATTTGCATTTTTAATGAGTTCCCAGGTGATTCTGATACTACTACCTTTCCCAGGACCACAGTTGGGGAACCACTGCCCTGGAGGATCTATCTGGGAGGGCTGCCGTTGGATAGGACCTGTGTCAGGTCCTTCATGAATGTCTAGAGACCAGTATGTCCAGGTCGCCAATGACATCATATGCATTCAGTTCTTTCAGCTTGTCTGGGATTGTGCCAAGTGTCTTATATTAGGGTACTTAACATGGAAGTATCGTAGTGATGAAGATCCCATGCATTTCATTGTATCCTTGCCCCTCCCCCCCCTTTGAAACTTGAACATTGCCTCCACTGATTCTTTTTCAGGCAGTTTCATAGGTATGCAAGATGATAACTTTGTGTATTATTCTTACAGAGGGTTTTGCTTGAAAAGGATAGGGATTTTGCCAAGATCAAGTAAGAGATACTCGTTGAGCTTATGCTTGTGTGGTGAGGCACATGTAGATCAATAAAGTGAACAAATGAAGGACTGTTGTTCTCTGAAACAACAAGTGATGGGTGATATTTTGCATTTTAAAGAAGAAATCTAATTTAAATAAAAAGTAAAAATGGTTGTGTGTTCTCTCTTCTCTGTGAAGGTGAAGTTTCAGCACGAGGTCTACCCGCCTTGCAAGCCGGAGTGTGACTCCGGCCTCTTAGAGCACCCAGTCTCCCGGCAGGTGTTTGTCGTGCAGGATCTTGAAATTCGAGATCGTCTGGCAACATCACAAATGAATAAGTTTTTGTACCTGTATTGCAGTAAAGAAATGCCTCGAAAAGCTCATTCCAACATGGTAAGATTTAAGACCTCATATGTTCTGTTATGTATTTGTTTTGGAAAAGTGTGTTTGCTGTATCTAACTGCAGAAGATTGAGATTGGGGAAAATTGCAGATTTTTTTTTTTTTTTTTTAAAGATTTTATTTATTTATTCATGAGAGACAGAGAGAGAGAGAGAGGCAGAGGGAGAAGCAGGCTCCCAAGGAGCAGGGAGCCCGATGTGGGACTCGATCCCAGGACCCTGGGATCATGACCTGAGCCGAAGGCAGACGCTTAACCATCTGAGCCACCCAGGCGCCCGTTTTTTTTTATAGTAATATGAAAATCCCTTTTAAATACGCTGCTTAAAGTTTTATTGTTATTAATTTTTAAAGGTTTTATTTCAGACAGTGAGCACGAGCTGGGGGGAGGGGCAGAGGGAGAAGCAGACTCCCTGCTGAGCAGGGAGCCCCATGTGGGACTCTATCCCAGGAGCCTGGGATCATGACCTGAGCCAAAGGCAGATGCTTGACTGAGCCACCCTTGTGCCCCTTAAAGTTTTATTATTTAAAAATTATTTTTTGGGCGCCTGGGTGGCTCAGTTGGTTGAGCGACTGCCTTCGGCTCAGGTCATGATCCTGGAGTCCCGGGATCGAGTGCCGCATCAGGCTCCCTGCTCTGCGGGGAGCCTGCTTCTCCCTCTGACCCTCCCACCTCTCATGTGCTCTCTGTCTCTCTCATTCTCTCTGTCTCAGATAAATAAATAAAATCTTTAAAAAAATAAAAAAATAAAAAATAAAAATTATTTTTTAAGATTTATTTATTTTTTATTTTTTTTATTTGACAGAGAGACAGTGAGGGGGAGAGAAGGAACACAAGCAGGGGGAGTGGGAGAGGGAGAAGCAGGCCTCCCACCAAGCAGGGAGCCCGATGCGGGGCTCAATCCCAGGACGCTGCTGGGATCATGACCCGAGCCAAAGGCGGACGTCTAATGACTGAGCCACCCAGGCACCCCTAAAAATTATTTTACATGTCACTTTTAGGGTCCATTAATTTTAACTGCCAGTATATTGATACCCGAGGAAAACGGGAAGTCTGTGGTGATCTACACAAAATATTTAGTATTGCTGGAAGTGTTCCAGATTTCTAACACTTTGTGAGTTTTAGTGGAATAGGAATGATTTGCTCAGGATTGCTAGAAGAAAATGTCCTAGAAGCTGTCTTTGGAGTGTGGCTCTCCGGATTCCCTCCAGGGGCCCAGCGGATCCTGAAGTACATGTACCCCACTGTCGTTTACGTCTTTCCCACTAAAGAGAACCCATTTCTCTCCTGAGACTCTTCAGGGAGTGTGTGCCCCAGACAAGTGTGATTCAGGCCTTTAAACAAAAAGGGGAAACAGTTCCACTTTTAGTTCTCTTATAAGGGATAGAAATGGGATTTTTTTCTTTTGTTTCTTGTGTTTTTTCTTTTTAAATGAAAACAAGGGTGTAATGTCATTGGGGAAAAAATGTTTTTCTTCTCTCCTAGTTGACAGTGAAAGTATTACACGTGCGCCCCGAGTCCGGCAGGTCACCGCAGGAGTGCTGCTTGCGAGTGTCCCTAATGCCACTTCGCCTCAATATTGACCAGGTTTGTACTGCAGGCATCGTGTGAGGAGTTATGCTTCTATGTCCCAGACTCAGAAGGAGAGATTTAATTTAGGTGAATTAAAATGTTTATTGTTACTTAACTGTTATGAAAGTTGCATAATTGAAGCAGAATTCTGCTGGTAAAGAATAGGACAAATTCATCAGGCGTTAGGGATCCGAACTGTTGGTGAGTAAACATTATTAGATGTTGTGCTCCAGGCTCCTCATTGTCTGCGTGACCTAGCACTCAGTCCCTGCTTCCCGTTCTCCCCTGCTCACGGACACACACTCGGGCAGGTACACAGGTGTCTTCAGAGGGTAGGAAATGACTCCCTGACATCTGTGGTTGAAAGATCAGAGGGCTTGTCTCTTAACCACAGCACCTGGAAGAGAATTCCTTCTGCCCTGGGTAAGATGACAAATTGGTACATTGGATACCGGAACAGGTCACAAACAGCAGATTTGTGGAAAGACCTAAAGAAATCTACTTTGCCGTATTCTAGCAAACATTTCCATGAAATTGTTCTGGGTTTTGCTTTGACTCAGCTGTTTAAAACATAGTTGGCGCCTCTTGGGCAAACTAGATTCAGGGTGTGTGAACACGTGACGCTTTGTAGTCGTGCAGTGTGGCCGTGAGGGGGGCACAGGCTCGGGAGTCAGGCTGGGGTTGGCGCCTCAGTTCTCTTTCCCTGGTTGTGTGCCTTTGGGGAAGTTATTTCTCCAAGCCACACTTTCTTCACTGATAAAATCAAAGTAAGAGAAATAGATGTAGAATCGTTTTTTAAAAAATGATCAAATGAGACTAGCGTATGTTAAATACTTAGCTTGGTGCCTGGCGTACAATGTTAAAAGATCAGAAGTGTTAACTGTTGTTCTTATTAACCGAAGCACGTCACAACTGAGGAAAGTAAGTGGAGTCCTTAAAATAGCCTGCTTTTAAAACAGCAGAACTGTCCTGTTACGCCTTATATTGGTGTGAGGAGGAGAGTCTATGTGGGATAGCACTGTTGGTTTGCTTATGTGGTACAGATTGAGTAACGTTGACTTGTTATTTGAATAAGTAACAGACATTTCAGGAATAAGGTATTAAGTAATTATCTTGCAAAAATATAGACATTTCTCAGAAAAAATGTATTGTGAAGCACAGAAGTTCAGCACAGCTTCACGTTAATATTTGTAGCTTCTGAGCTGGGACGGACTTGCCAGTGCGTACTTTAGATTTATGTTCTCTCCTTATGAGAAGAATTTCTTTGGATACCCGTATTTTAATTTGATTTATCCATACATTGCCTTGTGACTGAATAGGAGTACGATCAAGTATTTATGGGAAATTCGATCTGTGGAAATCAGTGTGAGCAAGAATTTGAGCAAGATACATCTTTATTGGCATGACTTTGCCAGATGTAGCAAGCCCAGGTTTCTTTTTCCTTTTTTTTTTAATGTTTTTAAATTTATTTATTTGAGGGGGGGGGAGAGAGAGAGAGTGTGTGTGTGTGTGAGAGAGAGAGAGAGAGAGAAGGAGTGGGGGGGAGGGGCAGAGGCAGAGGGAGAAGCAGACTCCCTGCTGAGCACGGAGCACGACGCAGGACTCAATCCCAGGACCCCGGGATCATGACCTGAGCTGAAGGCAGATGCTTAACTGAGCCACCCAGGCGCCCTGCCCAGTTTTCTTTAACAGACTTTTTTCTTCAGTAGTGAGCTTAATTTCTTAGAACTATAAAGCATTGTGATTTTGAAATGGGGAGATACTGATCTTTGAGAAAACAGGGAAATCACCGTTCTGGCTGACCTGAGGAGGAGCGGGAAATCGTTTCCCAAGATACGAACCTGAGGAGAACACAGCCGCACTGCAGGTGTGTGCTGACAGGTTCACTGTGCAAACGTCCTTCTGGCTGGCACCTTCTAAGATCGACGTGCCTTAGTTTGAGAGAGCAAATGGTCCTCTGAAGAGAAAACCTGATACTTATGTTCTCCATTTTTTTCTTTAGAAAACTAATCAATTGAAGAATGATAATGCTTTGAGTAATACTTTTCTTACCAAGCATGTCTCTGACTTAATATTTCTCTTAACTGGATCATAGATAGTAAGTATGAAAGCAACACACTGTTTTAAAAAAAGCTGCATTGCTGTTGAAGTTCAGGGTCATTGCTTCCAAGGCTCAGCATGCGTGTAGTGGAGGCAGGACACTAGGCAGAAGGGACGATTTTCTTCTGGGGAAGGGTGAATAGATGATGAAGTTCATGTAACTAGACAGTTTGAGATCTGAACTTTGAAGAGGCCAGATTTCCTGACTTTCCTGGTCTGGTGTCCATTTCAGTGTTGCACTGCCTGGAACTCTGGGCGGGGAAAATATGCTTGTTAATCCCAAATGATTTGCTGAATGCCAGTCTCATCCCAGGTCCTGTACTAGGATGCTGGGGATACAAAGATAAGTGAACATCCCCAACCTCAGAGATCTCTGTATGGGGGTGGAGACTGACATAAAACAGATGACTTTAACACCCTGTGGTGAGTCCCAGTGGTAAAGATAGGCATAGCGGGATATGCCCCAGCAGAAGGGGCTCTGAAGCCAGGCGGGGAATTCAGAAGAGTGAGGGGTAATCAGGAAAGGCTTTTGGAGGAGGTGACACTCAAGGTGGGTCTTAAGGAATGTGGTTGAGTTAGTTGCATTAAGATTTGTGTAAAGGCATTGAGGGCCTAATTCAGGTTGTGAGCGGAGATGTGAGGCCATTCTGGTAAGGTAGGTATGTGCTTGGCTGAGGTTTGAGACGGTGAATACGAGCAGTACTAGTTTGCACATTTGTGGTTTTTTAGCATCATTACTTGATTGCCTGAGTATGACATTATAATTAACTATTTTAACACTTCTATGATAGAAGATACTGTTAGTATCTTCGTAAAGCTAGAAAGAACTATAGCCTAAGTTTGTAAAATAATAAACCACATTTTTTCAAGTTTTAAGAAGTTGATTGTATGTAGGTATAATTTGCATATAATAAAGTGCCAGGATTTTAGGTGTACAGTTTGAGCTTGACAGATACACTTGAGTAACTACTACACCAGTTGAAATAGCGTTTTCTGTTCCCTTCAGAGTCCCCCGTGCCCCTCTGTGATCAGTCTCCACCACCCCAAAGTAACTTGGTCTCCTTTCTATCACCATAGGTTAGCTTTTTCCCTCCCACAGCTTCATGTAAATGGAAGTGTATTTGGCTTCCTGTGCAGTGAGCTTCACCTATGCTGAGGTGTGTCTATTCATTTCTGTTCAGTCTGTTCCTGTTCATTGCTGAGGACTGGAGTCCTTGTATGGCTGTACCACACTTTGTGTATCCATTTACATGCTTTACATTTGGGTTGTTTTTCTTGGTTTTGGCTCTTAGGAACAAAGCTGTTACGAAGTTTGTGTACAAGTCTTCTTACGGATCTTTGTTTTCATTTGTCTTGGGTATTACAAACAATTTCCAGGCCGTGAGGCAGATGTGTATCTGACCACTGTAAGAAGCTGCCTGTTTCCCCCGGCGGTTACACCCTTGTACGTACGACCCCCAGGAACACGAGAGCTTCTGCTTCACACCCTGACCAAACCTGATGCTGTCTTTTTAATTTTAACGATTTTATTTGGTGTTCATTGTGGTTTTAATTTGGATTTCGTGGTGGCTAATGATGCTAAGCATCTTTTCACATGCTTATCTGGCATCTGTATACCCTTTTGTAAAGTGTCTGTGGTTTGCTAATTTTAAAATTAGGTTGTTTTATTGAGTTGTAAAGAGTTTAGCATAAATACCAATATCAGAACTTCTGAGAGCATATTGAAATGCGGACCGTTAGTATCCCCTCTTCTGTTGTTTTGTGATTTGTAGTGAAAATGGATAAATGCCACCAGCTCTGTGTCTTCTCTCTCTCTCTCTCTCTCTTTTTTTTTTAAGCATATTTATACCTGGAAATTTTCTCTTGTTTTTTTTGAAGGCATAGAGTCAAAGTATTTATTGCGTTAAAATATCACCATCTAGTGGTCAAAGAATAACATTTTTAGGTACTGTTAACTTTGTAAACATCTAATATTTGATATACATATATTATCCAATGTGTGTGTATATATACACACGGATCTGTGTAGTAATATATAATGTATGTAATGTGAATAACAAAATGTACACATATATAAATGTAAAGAAAGCATAATGTAATGAACAATTCATGAACTCACTGTCTTACTGCAGAACCAAAATATTTTCAGTACTGTTGGAACTGCCTGCTTGGTCTTCAGTCCCATCCCTCAGTCTCCATATGCCATGTTACCTAGAAAAATATCTTTCTGACTTTCATCATTTATACTTCTGATAAACGTGATCAGTAGGTTGATCAGATCCTTTGGAATTACCAGACTTAGAGTATGATACCAAATACCCTGACCCTGTAATTCCCCACCACATTGCATTTTGGTACAGTATTAATGCTTTATATTAACTGAGAATTTTTTTTTTTTAAGATTTTATTTATTTGAGAGAGAGAGCACATGAGAGGGAGGGAGGGTCAGAGGGAGAAGCAGACTCCCCACTGAGCAGGGAGCCCAACTAGGCTGATCCCAGGACCCCAGGATCATGACCTGAGCCGAAGGCAGTTGCTTAACCAACTGAGCCACCCAGGCGCCCCAACTGAGAATTTTTTTAAATGGAAGGGCAGAATAAGAAAGAATAGGCTCAAGCATTTAATTTTCATACTTTCCAAAAGGGGTCTGTCGGTGTGAGTGAGGTGGGTAAAACGAAGCTGCTAATAGCGGGCGAATGTGGCTTGCTCGGACAGCGTTAGACAGGCCTGCGCATTTTTGTCATTACATCATTTCAGAAGAGACCACACTGGGTAATTTTACGGATTTTACTTTTGAATATCCTGTCCAATGGAGAAAATGTGTTAGGGCAATAGAACGTAGTGGTCCAGGCCGAAAGCAGGTAGTAAGAACTTGCAAGGCTTGTGAGTGTGCGCAGGCCGGCAGGGTGCTGTTCCTCGTGGCGGTATTGCGCCCCCTACCGTTTGCACTGAGCACTGGCATCCAAGAACAAGGACGCCGCCTTCCTGAGAAACCAAACTGTACTTGGATTTAGAAATAGCTGTGTAATCTTTAACTTCTCTGTGTCTTAATTTTCACGTCTATAATTTTCTCAGAGTTGTGAGAATTAACAAGGAAGTGTGTGTGTGTGTGTGTGTGAGAGAGAGAGATGGGGAATAGGAACAGTGCCTCACACAGAGTAAGAACTCAAAAAATTATAGTGGTATATGAGGAATGAGTAAAATATGGGACTTTGAGATACTTTGTAGTTTTAGAAATAGATGCCCCCCCCCCACCGGTTATAATTACTTCTTTTCATTTTAGGATGCCTTGTTCTTCCTGAAGGATTTCTTCACAAGTCTTTCTACAGAAGTAGAGCTTCTAATGGCTCCAGATCCAGAAGGTATTAAACATGTATAGTTTGGAAAAAGTCTATATCAAATACTTGGATTGATTCTGATTGTTATGAGGCCTTTTTGAGAGTGTACTTACAGTCTTTATTCTCATTTATATAAATGTGCTTTGTGTTTATTTTTTTATATTTTGCGAATGCAGTTTATGTAAGAGTAATAATTTAAAAGGTGGAAGTCGGTAGTCTCTGTAGCAGTTACTGTGTTTATTAAATGCAGCAAAACAAGTTAAATCCACATTAATTTTAAATGGTTGCTCTAAAGAAGCATTCCTAATTTTCAAATGCGCACATTACCTTTTCAGTTAAAAAGTCTCCTGGAGCTGATGTCACCTGCAGTTTGCCAAGGCACTTAAGCACCTCCAAGGAGCCAAATCTAGTTCTTTCTTTTCCTGGGCCAAAGCAGCCTTCCCAAGATGGTGGTGCCAATTCAGTGGAAGTGGTTAATGGGGAGGAAGAGAAGGTCTTCTCAGCTGAAGAAGCATCATTTAGTGATCAGCCCGTGTTTTTTAGGTAAATCACTGAATTTTGATAACACATGAAGTTATTTTAGCGTTTTGCAGGTTGTTCTTTAATGTGTTCGTGTACCACCACTAATTATGAGGTTACTCCAGCTTTTCTTTGCCCTGCCAAACAGTAACTAGTGTCTTTATTTACATGTGGGCTCCACGTATCCTGCACCCCTTGATTACAGGTAGTAACCCTGGCTCAGGGGTATTTTCTCTGGATTCTGCAGCAGGAATGTCCTTTTCCTCTTAGCTTTGTTTTCCTCCTTCTGTCCCTCTTCCCAGTCACTGTTATGGCTTATTTGTACCTCCTCAATCATGATGTCCTTTCCTCTTTTCCCTTACACACCTTGGCTTCCCTTCTCCAGTGTGGGCATTTTCTGTCTGGTTTTCCATCTGCCCCTTCCCCATCACTGTTGTGTCTTTCCTGACCCTTCACTCCCTGGCTCAGTCGGCACTATCGGGAAAAGCAGGCCCACGTGCTCCTGCCCATGCTCAGCTAGCTGCTTGCACGCTGGAATTTATCCTCAGTTCCAGACCCATTCATTCTTCCCATCATCCTTCTTTCCCGGCCCCTCATGGTGGGCATGGAGCCTTGGCTCCGTTGGAAGGAGGAAGAAGGAAGATCTAAGCCACCTGTTGTTGTGAGGGACCGTTAGTTACTTCCCCTTGTTGTCTGTACTCCTGTTGACATCGACTGTCCCCCGATTCTGTCTTTTCAAGCTGACTTTATGTTAAATTTTGGGTATGGCCCAAAGCGGGCAGTGTAACTATTTAAAGTGCTTTCATATTTTTATATATCTTGAAAATAGAGAAAAAAAATAACGATATGGGAATTGGAAAGATCCTGGGATAGATGATCTCTGGCAGTTGTAAAAGTTTCACCAGGAAAGAAGAATCTCTTTTATTACTTTCCCACATTGATCTTTAAAATTTTTTTACTACCAAAAAATTGCATATCATAAGTGATAGTGTGAATTCTCATTTTATATTAATCACACATGAACTCCTAGTTTGGTTTTTGTAAACACTGGATAGCCAGTCCAAAAGAAATTGAATTGTTAACAATTCTGGCCTGAAAGCAAAGAAATTTAACATTTCTCATTCAGCTTGTGTGGCCTCACTTACTTAGGTAAATAATTTTGGTTTTTTTCATTACACTATTTAAAATTGCTATGGATTTCTGTTTCTACTCTTAAAAGCTCCTAGAAGGCCTAGGGGTGGTAGTCAGTGATATAGTCCAGTTTACTCACTTCACAGACGAGGAACTTTAGTGTCCAGAGAAGTAAGTTGACTTGCTCAAAACCACACAGTTAGTGGCCGAGTCAAGACTAGAACACAGGTCTTAATCCCAAATCTGGCGCATTTTCTAAGTGATGGCCTAATAGCCCCCAACCATTCCACAGATATTTATTGAGCTCTTACTCTCTGTATGCCAGGTTTTGTTCTAGGCACAGTAAACAAAGCCAAGAAAAATTCCCTATATAATTGAGCTTACAAATAATTAAAATACATGATTTGCCGTATTATGTGCCATGAAGAAAACAAAGAGTGAGAAAGGAAGAGAACCAAAATGCCCAGGGACCCAAGTGGAGATGTGTATTTGGAAGATGAGGGATGACCTGGGGTCCCAGGCTCCTGTAGTGATTGACGTTTAAATACAGCATTTCCATTTTGCTGTGGGTTAAATTGGACTTTTGTGGAATGGCTTAGGATATAAACACAGACATTAATTCCGTAGAAAAATTGTGTTTTAAGTCCAATTTACAGTCCAACTTTGGGAAGCCGGCTCCTTTTGTTTGATGTATACCATCGGCGTATAATTATGATTTCATTCTCACAGAATTCCCAATGCTTGTGTGTTGATACCCTTTTTATAAGCATTAATTTCAAGAATGCTCACTCAAATTCACCAACGTGGGTGGCATTTTAAAAATTTACTAAGATGTTTAGGCTCAGAGTTTAAGTTCCTTGCCCATGATTGCATCACATATAACTGGTAAAACTGGGATTCGTGGCTGGCTTTTCTGGCACTTTCTGCTTCATGATGGAGCTGAAATAAATCCCTTACCTCTTCTCTTTTTTACTTCGTGGTAATGATTCTATTATTTGGTTTAATCTTAAAGGTCACCTTTATTATTCTTCTGTATAAATTGAGAATATCTGCCAGAATAAATTTTTCTAAGGTAAACATTTAGTAAACTAGGAGATTTTTTTGTGAGAAAATTTAAATAAAATAAATACAATGTATAAGATGATTAACATTAGTTGTTATATTATCTTAAGATAGAACTAAAAGACATTGCCCTTTATTTAGGTCTTGAGATATTCACATTATTTTGTGGTTTTGTTTTTATTATCCAGTTGAACAAATTAATTTATTTCTAATTTCAACTATTAGTACTTTTGAATATAAATAACTCCCCTCCTTTCTTTATCTTCAGAGAATTTAGATTCACATCAGAAGTTCCTATTCGACTTGATTATCATGGCAAACACGTATCAATGGATCAGGTTTGGAAACTTTGTATAAATATACTCTACAAAATTATCTCTCGTTTTTCTAATGGAGTTAATTTTCAAACTTTATGTTTGAAGTGACATGCAAGATTTTAAAATTTAATTCTGTTTTTAAAGTAAACATCATTTACTTAACCTGTGAGTAAAATTTAGTGTAATTTGGGTCATAATATAATTAAGTATGTGTTTTTTTGATGTAAATATTTTAAGTGTTTTAGCTGCATAAGCGAATGAATATTACTTTGACTTGCCCAAATAACAACTGTTTTAGATGTTGGGTGTCTCAGTTACACATTAATCTGGCTTTTTTTAATTTTAAAGGGTACGCTGGCCGGGATTCTGATTGGTCTGGCCCAGTTAAACTGCTCAGAACTGAAGCTGAAGCGGCTTTTCTACCGGCATGGGTAGGTTGATTTATACCATATGAGGCTTTATGGTATAGTGACTGTGATTAGCTTACAACAAATTGATCGCTGACTTTTCTTAGCAAAATATCATTGTTTTACAGCATTGTGTGCAGAGAGCTTGTTTTTAGAGGAAGCTTACTGATTAGGGGCTCCTTTTTATGCTGAGAGAGTAGGAGTTTGAACAGAGTAGTATTTTTCAAAAACAGCTGTAGTTGTTTTTTAAAATTTCCCAAAGTCATAAATTCATTTATTTAGCAAAAAGACTGGCAGTTCACAACGTAATGGTTCTTAGTGGCTGAGAACCATGTAGCAATTTATAGACATTGAGTTAATACTATGCTAGAGCTTTAAAAATTTTATTTATTTAAGATTTTATTTACTTGTCAGAGAGAAAGAGACAGAGAACAAGCACAAGCAGGGGGAGCGGCAGGCAGAGGGAAAGGGAGAAGCAGGCTCCCTGCCGAGCAGGGAGCCCGATGCGGGACTCGATGCCAGGACCCTGGGATCACGACCTGAGCCAAAGCTTAACCGACTGAGCCACCCAGGCGCCCCAGATTTTATTTATTTGAGAGAAAGTTGTGTGTGCACACACAAGTGGGGGGGGGGGGGGGAGGAAGAGCGAGAGAGAGAATCTCAAGCAGACTCTATGCTGAGTATGGAGCCTGATGTGGGACTTGATCTTACGACCCTGGGATCATGACCTGAGTTGAAACCCAAGAGTCTGATGCTTAACCAGCTGAGCCACCCAGGTGCCCCCTATGCTAGAGTTTTAGATGTTCAAGAAATAGGAGCAGTGGAAGAACACAGTTATACATGTTACTGAAACCTTGTAGAAATTACTAACATTAAACTGGATTATATATGTGTGTACATATATGTGTGTATATGTACATTCAGATCGAACGTCTATAATATTTTGTCCTTGTAATTGGTAAATTTTCTTTTGTTTTAAGTTAAAAAAAAAATAACCCCCAACTTATTATGGTAAACGAATTAAGTCAGTCAGAGAAAGACAAATACCATATGATTTTACTCGTGATGAACAGATGAACATAGGAGAAGGGAAGGAAAAATAACAGGGAGGAAGGCAAATCATAAGAGACTCTTAACTCTAGAGAACAAACTGAGGGTTGCTGGGGGCGGGGTGTAGGGGTTGGGGTAACTGGGTGATGAGCATTAAGGAGGACACTTGATGTAACGAGCACTGGGTGTTCTTTTTTTTTTTTTTAATTTTTTTATTCTTATGTTAATCCCCATACATTACATCATTAGTTTTAGATGTAGTGTTCCATGATTCATTGTTTGTGCATAACACAGCACTGGGTGTTCTATGCAACTGATGAATCACTAAATTCTACTCCTGAAACTAAAAAAAGAAAGTTCCCCCAACTTATCTGAACCTATGAATTTCTTTCGCTTTTCTGTATACTAATAATTGTTTGCTCTAGCTTGCTAGGTGTTGACAAATTGTTCTCGTATGCAATCACGGAATGGCTTACTGACATTAAGAAGAACCAGCTACCAGGAATCCTGGGAGGCGTTGGGCCTATGCATTCACTAGTACAATTAGGTAAGTTTTCTTTTTTAATCAAAAGATGATTTATTTTGCCTGATCTGTGATTCTTAACCCCTTTGGAGTTATGGGTGCCTTTGGGACAGTCTATGTGGGGACCAACTTTCTAGAAAACTTCTGTGTGTGGTCATACACACCGGCAAGAGCACTCTGCGTCCCATTTGAGGTTAAAACCCCGGGGTTAGAGTGATAGCAGAGATCTGAGCCCCAGCACTCCCACTGATTGCTCCGTGTTGACCGTTGTTCTAGTGCAAGGCCTGAAGGACTTGGTCTGGTTACCAATAGAGCAGTACCGGAAGGACGGTCGCATCGTCCGAGGGTTCCAGAGAGGTGCTGCATCCTTTGGCACCTCGACGGCGATGGCCGCGCTGGAGCTCACCAACAGGACGGTCCAGACCATACAGGTACCTCCGCCGACTGCTGTCCTCTGTACGGACAGGAAGGCTTACTGCAAGACGGTCGGGGGTTTATGTTTCTAAAAAGACCCTGTGAAATATACAGAACATTGAGAATAGATATCTTATTTATGATGATTTAATATCGTGGGGGTTTTTTGTTTTTATTGCTCAGCTCTCTGGTGTTAAAGAATTCGTAGAATAAAGCAGTGGAATCCAGTGCAAATTCGTTTGCCTGTTTCAGTTAAATTGTAACTGTTAAGTTAGTCGAGGATTTATTTATTTATTTATTTTTAAAGATTTTTATTTATTTATTTATTTGACAGAGAGAGACACAGAGAGGGAACACAAGCAGAGGGAGTGGGAGAGGGAGAAGCAGGCCCCGCCGTGGAGCAGGGAGCCCGATGTGGGGCTCGATTCCAGGACCCTGGCATCATGACCTGAGCTAAAGGCAGACGCTTAACGACTGAGCCACCTAGGCGCCCTAATCGAGGATTCATTTTGCCTCATTTATATGAACAGATCATAGCTAAACGTGAAGGAAGCATTACAGAACAAAACAGTAGACGTATTAAGGTTTGTTAAGTATTAAACTCCAGTTGACCTTATCCAGTTGTTCACAGACAGGGCATTCTCGCTTAACCTGTAACGTGGAGAGTGTTCTCAGAGGGAGAGAGGAGGACTGAGAAAGTCAGCTCGATCTAGATACTAGTTCTTAATGTGCACTTTAATGTTCTTGGTATAAGAGTGCTAAGTTTTTGTCGTGAAGAACTCCCCATACCGCAGACACACCTGCGTTAGGGCCTGCAAGTCCCTCTGTTCTTCCCGACTCCCCATGGCAAGTGCGTTGTTGGAGCAGAACTCTGCAGACTTTCTTCTGATTCATTTCTTACCTTCTGATAAAATGATTCCAGGCGGCAGCAGAGACTGCTTATGACATGGTGTCTCCTGGGACCCTTTCTAGTGAGCCCAAGAAGATCAAAAGGTTTCCTCACCACCGCTTAGCCCACCAGCCAGTGGACCTGCGGGAAGGTGTGGCCAAGGCCTACAGTGTTGTGAAAGAGGTGAGTGCATACCTGGGTGCGCGGGCCGGAACCGGCTGGCCCACTTTCCTGCCTTTTGTTGGAAGAGCATTTTGTATGGATACCCATACAAAATTGGGTATGGAAACCCCTGCGAGTGGACTTGGAATTGCTACCAATAGCAAGTGCCAATGTCTGCACGAGGTCAGAGAAGAGGGCCAGGTAGTGATGGGCTCACAAGGAGAGTCGTGGTCTGGAGGAAAGGCTGATTGTCCTCACGTGCAGAAGCCAGCCGCGTAACGGACGCACGCGCGCTCGCACCACCCGGCTGTGGCACGTAGTTGTGCTGCGCTGTGGTACTCAGCTTTGTTTAAAAGTACAGCTTTTCAGCTCACTCACCTGATCCCATTCGCGTGCCTTCACTCTCCTGAAGATGGTACACATTTTTTGGTACATGTTTTTATACTTTTACTGTATGTATCACGTGCAACGTCTGCCTTTCCAGGTCTGTCCATGGTGATGTATGCACGTCTCATTCAAACGGTCTTAGGGCATTTCATCGTAGGGCTGTGGCATACTTCACTTTCCTATTGGTAGACCTTGTTTTCCCTAAACCACTGCTACAGCAAATGTTCATATAAATGTCCCTTTATTCATTTGTGCAAGAGGTTGTTAAGAATGAAGTTGGTGATTTGTAACTGTCTGAATCAACATTTATTAAGCCTAATTGCAATTGCACCAGTGAATCTGGTTCTTTTTTTTTTTTTTTTTAAAGATTTTATTTATTTATTTGAGAGAGAGAATGAGATAGAGAGTACATGAGAGGGGGGAGGGTCAGAAGGAGAAGCAGACTCTCTGCCAAGCAGGGAGCCCGATGCGGGACTCGATCTCGGGACTCCAGGATCATGACCTGAGCCGAAGGCAGTTGCTTAACCAACTGAGCCACCCAGGCGCCCGTGAATCTGGTTCTTAATGGGCACTGTTGGGAGCATTCCCCGTTGTAATCTTTCTTGACATTCTTTTTAATGTGACATGAAGTTTGAGATGGTTTTACTCTTGATGCATGTATTAGGATTTCATTAAAGATCTTTTTCCCCGTCTTTATTCTGACAGGCACAAGTGCCTAGGAAAAGACAAGTCTTTTCCCTGACAGAGTGGCCTCTGTGGTCCCAAATGGTCGGGAGACCACTGAGGTAGGGCCCCGAGGAAATGTATTAGTGGAATAAAGGCAAGACCACCTGCTTTTCTTAAAAGGAGACCTAGTTGGGAGAATAATTACTGGTCAGATCTGTTCCTATAGATGTCAGGATTGGGCCAGTTATCGGTAGACGTGTTAGAAATCAGGTTTATAAAAATGATCCTGGGGTTCAGGGCATGGCAGGGGCCGTGGGCCACAGGATATAATAGCGCTTGGAAATGGAGCACTTTGCAGTTTGCATAACCTTGCCTGATTTAATCTGAATTCATTTGAAAAAATATTTGTGTGCTTCCTTTGTGCCAGGTGTATAGCAACCATTAAAGGGAGGCGGTGGTCCTCGCTTGCCCATGAGGACACTGGCTCAGCAGGAATGGCTCCCCAGTGTAGCTGGGCGAGTCAGTAGTGGGGCCTCTGTTGGACCCTGGGTATTCGGGTCTGCTGTGTGGGTCTCTCTCTAAGACTTGACAGTGTGAGCACGGATCGAGATGGCAGGTGCGCTTGATTAGCAAGGAATCTGACTTCCGCGTTCAAAACTTTTAAAGTTTTTTATTTTTTATTTATTTATTTTATTAGCACAAGCAGGGAGAGCGGCAGATAGAGGGAGAGGGAGAAGCAGGCTCCCGCTCAGCAGGGAGCCTGATGTGGGGCTGATCCCAGGACCCTGGCCAGGATCATGACCTGGGCTGAAGGCAGCCGCTTAACCGACTGAGCCACCCAGGCGCCCCTCAGAACTTTTTAAATAGAGGCTCCTTACATGGTGATAAATGTGTCTTTTCCCTTTTAGATGTTAGTGAATCAAAGATGGAGAGAAAACATTCCAGCTGGTTCACAGATTGGCTCCTCCTCTAGATCTGGGCTCGGCACACTGTGACTTCTAGGTCACCTCTGGCCCAGGCCTGTTTTTGTGTGGACCTACCAGCTCAGAATTATTTTAACAACTTGAAAGGATTGTAAAAAGGAAAAAAAAAAAAAAAGAAAAAGCATATACGATAGAACCCATGTGGCCCACAAATATTTGCCATGTGCTGGCTGACCCCTGCTTCCGTCGTTCCCCTGGGTGGGAGGCCGGGCACTGTGATGGGGGCAGCGGCCGGGGGCCAGGGCCTGCTTCGTGAGCACGGAGCGCCAGTCTCTGCGGGTGTCTTGAGCCAGTGAAGTCTGACAGTCACCACAGACTTCATCCCCCATTGAAAGGACTTGACTAGCAACAAAACAAAACAAAGAACAAATGAAATAAATATTGGCTGAGGTAACACACTGAAGTGATAGAGCCGAGATACGAATTCACTTCTGTGACGCGGTGGTGGCCACGCTCACTGGGTTGTAATCCGCTTGAACCTGCTTATTGTCTTCGGGCTAGGGAGGGTGGCTGAGAGAGGAGACAGAGGGATGCGGGCACAGGTGGACCAACTGTGAGCGTTTTCTTTATTGTCACGGTTTCACTTACTGTCGATAGTTTTAAAAACTGCACTTGTATTTGTTTTTAGTTCTTCTGTACGTGTCCTCCCCCTACAGTATTACATGTTTACCCTACCGTGCCAGGTAGAAATGATACTTTTTAAAGATTTTATTTATTTATTTGACAGAGAGAGACACAGTGAGAGAGGGAACACAAGCAGGGGGAGTGGGAGAGGGAGAAGCAGGCTCCCTGCTGAGCAGAGAGCCTGATGCAGGGCTCGATCCCAGGACCCTGGGATCATGACCTGAGCCGAAGGCAGCCGCTTAACTACTGAGCCACCCAGGTGCCCCGAAACTTTTAAATTATTAAACATGTTCCTGCTTTATGTTTTCAGAATTTTTTCTATTTAAGCCAATCCTTTTATCTTAATTGAATGTTCCACAATTATCTTTTCTAGTACATAGCTAGTAATTTAAAACAAATAATTTTCTAGAGCTTTGTAGAATTAGGTTTTCTTGTTACAGTTGACTCAAAGGAGCTATCACTGTATTCCTTTTGTGATTATATTTATTCCAGAAGCTTTATTTGCTAAGTTTGATTTAACTAGAGTGATTAATAGTGCCAGGAAAGCTACTCTTAGATCATTAAATATTTCTTTTTTAAAAGTTTTTTTTTTTTTATTCATTCGAGACACAGAGATAGAGAGAGAGAGCATGAGCAGGAGGAGAAGCAGAGGGAGGGAGAGAAGCAGACTCCCCGCTGAGCAGGGAGCCTGGTGCGGGGCTCAATCCCAGGACCCTGGGATCATGACCTGAGCCGAAGGCAGATGCTTAACCATCTGAGCCACCCAGGCACCCCTAAATATTTCTTTAAGCTTCCCTACGTGAAATGGTAGCTTAGCTATATTTTCTACATACACGTGTCACAACAAAATGCTAGATTATAATAATTGCCTCTTATTTTCCCTATAGTTACAATTCTGTCATAAATATAATTATCCTGGGTTATCTCAAAAGCACAGTGGGTTTTTTGGTTTAGTTACAAGCATAATGTTGATGAACTCTGCTAAAGTTGTATACAATAGGATAATTTAGAGATTTTTTTGATCTTCTCTCCTCTCCCCCTTTCAGGGACTTACAGACACGGCTCAGACAATTTACGAAACCGCAGCTCGAGAACACGAGAGCAGAGGGGTCACTGGTGCCGTGGGCGAGGTCCTGCGCCAGATTCCTCCCGCGGTGGTGAAACCTCTGATTGTGGCCACGGAAGCGACATCAAATGTATTAGGTGGCATGAGAAACCAAATTAGACCAGATGTTCGGCAAGACGAGTCACAGAAATGGCGCCATGGGGAAGACTGATATTTCAGACGCGATTCTTTATGGAGAGAGTGAGGGTAGAAGTAAGGAGCATAGCGTCCCGTTGGCAGCTTTAGAGGGTACTCATTTAATTTTATTGTGCTCATCTCAGGAACAAAAGCATTTCTTAGTTAAATAATTTAATATCAAAGCAACATGCAACCAAAAACTTGTGACATTGTAGGGCTAGTTTAGTACTTGCGTAGAGAAATGTTTGGTGGTTAGTGTCAAAAGTTCTTAAGCGTTTGCTGCCAAGTGAGTGGAATGCTTGCTATTATTAAAATGGCTGTGATTCTCCTTGCTATGGATGAGAGATCATTGGAAGCCTCCCGTTACAGTACAGAGTGCTCAGAAACTTCGAAAGTGCACTTTGAAAGCACTATTTATGTTGCCCTGAGGAGAGTTGATTTTTCTCAAGGTTTAAAAAGAATCACAGCTTCGAAACTTTCACTGAGAATGAGAGACAGAAGCTACAGGGAAAGCAAAGCAAATAGGATTTTAATATAAATAACCCTGAGGAATAAATAACCTAGTCTGTTGGATTTAGTGTCCGTGCACTTGAGAACATTATTTCCATTCCCTCAGAAAATCTGTGGGCGTTGAGAACGTGAATGTCGCAGACATGTTCTGTTGTGTTGCACTTTATCGTGTGTGTGTGTGTGTGTGTGTAGATTAATACAAGTCATGTGATCTGTTTGTTATGTAATTTACAGATTTTCACAAAATATAAAGAGGAGTAAGACTGAATGTTTTTGGCAAAGGAAGCTAACTCAGATGTAGTAACTTCCATTTATTTTAAGTGTAAATGAAAATGTGCATTCTATAATGAACTGGGGCCCATATGATTGTTTATATGTTCACTTTTCAGCAGATACAGTGCAAGCTTTTAGGAATGTGTGGAAAGGGAGATTGGAAATGATTTTTACTTTTCTGAAATTAACCAAAAATCCTCCAAATATGCCCTAGTCAGCTATTTCGAAGTACCATTTTTACTTGGTTAACAGTGTACATTTTGATAACCTGTCAGGAATGAATAAAGTATTTTTATTTAAAGGTAAAATTGTTCTATGCTTCCATGAACATTTTGCTTTTTTTAGAGTATATTCATAGATGCAATACTTGGATCCATCCCAAAATATTTGGGAATACTTTCTCGAAACTGATTTTGGTTAATATCAAGTAAATCATTACCCAGGAGTAGGAGAAAAATTGTTCACAAGGACTCACTTTTTGACTTTAGGTGAATCTAGTAGAAAAAATGCAGGACTTTGTGTTCATCCACTGATGTGATGTGAATTTTCATTTTCTGAAGTGGGGAGAATGCCATTCACATGAATTTAGATTTCAGAACTACATTTCAGGTTGGGGTTTGAAAAATGATGTCGAATCGATTCCATTCTCTAGATTTTCTGAACAAGAAAGCAATGTAAGCCAAACATCTGGACATTTAAAATTTATGAAAACTGTGTTAAACAGCATTTAATTTTTGTTTCCTTTCTATTGCTGAAAAAACTTTAAAAAGGCACTGCTCACAGAACCATCCGTTACTCTGTCCCAATTAAATGGAGTCCATGCAGAATGTGATCCTGAGTAAACAGTAGCCACGCCCATGCATCATTGAGAAGGCTCAGCCGGCTTCGGGGGCACGTTCTGACCGCCCTGCTCACTGACCCCATGCATCCTTAAAACAGAACATATCATGTCTCTTATTTGTGATGATTGATTAAACTGCAAAGCCCTTGATCAACTTAAAAATATAAAATCTCTAATTTTAAAATACATTTTCCATAGTTACACTATTTAAGTTCAGTTAGATATAGTCTAGGGAGAAATAATCACCCTCTTCTTTGCACTCTTGAGTTGCAAATAGACCCATCTTTTGACAAATTTGGTTTGTAAATCCTAGTATAACATAGATCTTCATAATGTCATTTCCATGGTTCTCTGCCACAGAATCTGGGTTTGGGAACCAGAAACCTGCCTCAGAAAGGCCCAGTATCAAGGCTCTGTTCATTGCCAGTTTAACCAAGATGCTCTTTGAGATGTTTATGTAGACTGTATTTGAACACTTCTGCATTATTAAGTATCCTCAATTTTTTCTTTGTTAAAAATGTCTTTTCCAACCTTTATGTCACAGTGACACAGTAAGGAGAGCGTGGGGCAGGACCCTTGGGCTGCCAGATCTGCCCTCACTTGGCAGGTGACTTGGCCAAGGCATTAGATTTCTGTAAGTCTCAGCATCTGTCTGTAAACTAAGGGGCCCAGCAGAGATTTTTGGATGATCGTGTGTGTGTGTGTGTGTGTGTGTGTGTGGTGTGTGTGTGTGGTTTGGTAGACCCCCAGGCCTGTGACACCCCGGGCTGGGGGTGTTGGAGAGCATGGAGGTCACACCACACACGGGAGCCACGGCTCCCTCAGATCTTGGATCTCTGAGTACTGCATTTCTGAGTGGCCACCGGGCCTGTGTGGTTGACTTTGATGAACTATTCTGCATGGAGTAGACGACGTGTGTCCACATGTGGCTGCATGGAGGCCAAATGGGTGTTACCCCAGCGAGTCCGGGTGAGCAAGCCTGACCAAGATCCGTCAGCGAGTTTAAGACCACAGTGTTACAGAAGTGCGTGAAGACCACTTCATAAAGGCAGCGATACTTCCTCTTGAGCGGAGCTGATGTGCACCCCGTTTCCCTTCCTGTCTGTCCCCAGATTGCTGTTATTTGCCAGTAGAACATTCCCTTTCAATATCTGCCTTTTAGGACAGACGTAATACAGCATTTCTTCTGGACACAGCAGTAAACTTTCATTTTAGTGAAGTTTGGGTCCAGTTTGGATTCCCACTTTAAGCACATGTATTTCACATCAATATTTTTATAATGCAAGACTCACTTTAGGGAATCTTTCCAAGTCCCAGTGTGCCTAGAATAGCAAAAATACCAAAAACTGCTGTTTCCTGCCTCCTGCTGTGTCACTTTTAAATGGTATTAAAATATTTCCAGGAAAGGGGCACCTGGGTGGCTCAGTCGTTAAGCGGCTGCCTTCGGCTCAGGTCATGATCCTGGAGTCCTGGGATCGAGTCCCGCATCGGGCTCCCTGCTCAGCGGGAAGCCTGCTTCTCACCTCTCCCACTCCCCTTGCTTGTGTTCCTGCTCTCGCTCTCTCTCTGTCAAATAAATAAATAAAATCTTTAAAAAATATATATATATTTCCAGGAAAAATGTTTAGTTTTTAATCCTCTCCTGTAAAAACCGTGTTCTGTAGGTTTGGTGCCCTTGCTCAGTTTCAAAACCGTCTGGGCAACCCCGTCTGCTTCTGTGCAGGGGCCGCCGGCCCAGGGGCGTCAGGCCTGCCTCCAGTGTGCTCGGGTCGGGTTCTGGGCACTGTGTACTCTCCGCAGAGCGGGTGGACAGCAGGCCGTGTTGACTTGCAGCCATGTTAAACGAGAACGCTTCACTACATGGTTTCAGGGTTAACAACTGTCGTGACATTCACTTAAATTCTGTAGATGTGAAAAGCTTTGTGACTTTTTTTTTTTTTTAAGATTTTATTTATCTGAGAGAATGGGAGACAGAGAGCATGAGAGAGGGAGGATCAGAGGGAGAAAGCAGACTCCCCGCTGAGCAGGGAGCCCGATGCGGGACTCGATCCCAGGACTCCAGGATCATGACCTGAGCCGAAGGCAGTCGCTTAACCAACTGAGCCACCCAGGCGCCCAGCTTCGTGACTTTTAATCACTGGCCTTTGCTTCCATTTTCTTCCACCTGCATCGGGTAGAATTCCTCAGGATTGCAGGGAGGAGTGTGGCAGGGCTAGTGTTGGTGGTGAGCAGTCACTCCGTTTCCCCTCACATCCTCTTGACCTACTTAAGACATGAGGGCCAATGTCTGTAAAGTTCCTTGAGCTTGAAAGTAAGGGACTGTCAAAAGCAAAGTGAGACTCTTTTGTATCTGCAGACGCATCCATCCATTGGACATACCAGTTGGGATCAGATAGAATAAATCAGATAGAAATTTGAGTCTTAGGTTTAACCAGGAAGGCTACTTGTAGAGTGTATAATACGGGGGGGGGGGGGGAATCTTCTATCAAACGATCTTATTTCTGTTTATAGGGAGGTATAGTCGGTCTTTCCACAGAAGCCTAGTTGTGTGCTTCATTGCCAACTTCCTTTTTTTTTTTTTTTTTTAATTTATTTATTTGACAGAGAGACACAGCGAGAGAGGGAACACAAGCAGGGGGAGTGGGAGAGGGAGAAGCAGGCTCCCCGCTGAGCAGGGCGCCCAATGCGGGGCTCGATCCCAAGACCCTGGGATCATGACCTGAGCCGAAGGCAGACGCTTAACCGCTGAGCCACCCAGGCGCCCCGCCAACTTCCTTTTATCCCCGTGTTTTGGGACCATGTAGGCGCACCACCCCCTTTAATAGGCCTTGTAAGCTTACACGGGGAGTATTTTCCTCGATCCTGTTACTGTACATCAGACACAGAAAAGCTCTTCTAACACACCAGCATCGTGGGCTGTGTTGGGGATGAGAAATCTGAGTTTCAACAATTCACACTGAGAGGTCAGCAGTTTTCAAAAACATCAGGGAGGGTCCGGGATTTTTGCCTCCTGTCCCAACCATGGCCACCGTGGTTTCGAGCGTGTGGCTCAGTGGGAAGCGCCGGAGTGCGGGCTGCTGTGCGACTCGGGATGGCCGAGGGGGTGGCGGTGGCCTCGGTGACCATGGCGCCGGAGTTAGCAGCCCCCCCTTTAAGAAGTGTGTACACTTTGCTGTTTGACTCGCGTTCTGCATGCACGAAACGGCAGCTTCCAGCCTCGGGGTGGGTTTCCTAAGCAGCCGGGGGCGCAGGCCGCACTGGTCACTTCTCCACTGTGGACCGTGTGGTGGGGGCGGGGGGGCGCCGAGTTCGGCTCTCCTGCGAATCCCTCCCGACTTAACCTTGGACATGGAACTTAATCTCACCACAGTGTTGTATGCTCCTTGCTGAGTTCCCTAGTTTCCCTACTTAAGTTTGGATGTGAGTACTTTAAGAACACTACTGCTGTATGAGTCTTTTTGTGGAAATGTAACTCGTCCGTGTGACTTTGGAAAATATTATGAAATGGAGAGTACGTTTGAAGAAAATTAAAATATTTACTCTTTGGAGTTTGCTTTAAATACTATTGTCTTTCGCCAAGACTGGGTCCCACGGCCTGTACAAATCACTTCTCGGGGTGGGGCGCAGGTCTGTGGCAGATCCTGTTACTGAGACCCCGGTTCTGGTGACAGCAAATCGCGAGTCTGCCTGCCGCCCGTTTCTGAGCTGCACGGGGCATGTGATGGTAAAGCTTGCCACTCCTCCCCCCTGCAGGTGTTCGTCACTCTGTTCTCAGCCCTGCAGTGTGGACTTGCGGCAAACATACCTTCTCGTGTCGGTCTGAGGGACCTAGATAAATACCTGCTAAGTCTGCTCTATATGGGAATGTTTTTACTTGTAAAAGAGATTTTATTATTTTTGGGGGGGTAGCAAAAAGCAAAGTTTATTAAGCGATAGCAAAGTGATAGTACAAAGCTCCTGAGGAGGGAGGGGGGACCCGAGAGGGTTGCCCTGAAAGAGAGATTTTAAAGGAGTACTTTTTTAAGATTTATTTTATTTTTTAAAATTTTTTGGCAGAGACACAGCGAGAGAGGGAACACAAGCAGGGGGAGTGGAAGAGGGAGAAGCAAGCTTCCTGCAGAGTGGGGAGCCAGACGCGGGGCTCGATCCCAGGACCCTGGCATCATGACCTGAGCCGAAGGCAGACGCTTGACAACTGAGCCACCCAGGCGCCCCTCTCCCTTTTTTTTTTTTTTTTTTTAAGAATTTAAACATTTAATTTTTTGGCAGAGACAGCGAGACAGGGAACACAAGCGGGGGAGTGGGAGAGGGAGATAAAGGAGTACTTTTAAAGGCAGTGCTTTAAAAGGTTTTGAAAGGACGGGTGTGTGAAACCACTCAGCTATCAGGGAAACATCAGGGCACACTTCACACATGGCTCTTGTGACGGAGGGATAGGAACCTTTGTGGGGTGCTCGCTGCCTGCCGGGTGTCGGGGTGCGTGGGTTCTTTTGTAACCTCAGGGCCCCTCTGAGAGGCAGTTGGTGCAGTCCCTGTTTTCCAGAGAAGTCAAGACCCTTGCTGTGGTCACGTGCTGTGACTCCCAAACCCCATGCTCATCCTAGGACATCATTTAAGGGGAACTTGCACAGTTGTCTGAATTAGTGAAAGCTCATCACTAATTAGGAAACTAAGAAAGGAATTTTGCTGAAAGATTAAGATTCACGATTCTTAGAATGCTTGAGCCTAAGGCAAGAACAAACTTGCTTCTCCATCTCTCACCTGCATCTCTAGCCCTGCTCCCCTCTCCTGGCTGGGCACCAGCCGCTCTTGTCCTTTGGTTCTGCCACATCCCTGTATCCAGGGGTTAGAGATCTTTCTTTTTCCTTTTTTTTTTTTTTATGATGAAGTTCAGGCCCCACTCAGCACCAACTAAATAAGAATCTGCGAATGGGGCTGAGTCAGGGTCTCCACACCTTAGCAATTTTGACATTTGGGGCTGGTTAATCCTTCGTTGGGGGGCCGTCTTGTGCATCGCAGGATGTTGAGCGGCATCCTTGGCCTTACCCAGTAGAGGCAAGTAGCACCCCTCCCCAACTGTGAAAACCAAAATGTCCACAGATATGGTCAGATGTTCCCTGGGTGGCAGAATCCACGTGTGCAAACCGCTGGGCTCACAGCTCCCCTGGGAAATAATGTGCCTCCTGGAGCGAGAACAATGCCGAAGAGCCTTCCCACATTCCTTTCCAGAATGCTCTGCCTGTTTCCTCCTTGTTGCAACTTAAAAGGTTACCATTTTCAGACAGGGCCAGCCACCCTACCTACCTCTTTATTCTCCATTATCGCACACATTCCTTTAAACTGTGGTCCTGCTCTCCTAAGTCCTCACTGACTTGTCTCAGTGTTTATTGCCTGACACCCTCCGTGAGGGCAGGGCGCACACACACCTGCCCACCTGGCGCCTGGCACAGGGCCTTGCCCAGAATCAAGGCATCGGGGCCTAGTGAATGAATGAATGAGTGAATGAATGAATGAACCTTAGCGGTCCTATCGTCCTACACAGTCACTTTGCAGTGAGGATGTCAAGTCCAGAGAGGCAAAGTTATGTGCCCAAGATCACATGATTAGTACTTGAAGATGTCCTTTATTCAATGCAGTTTTACTTTCTTGGTTTTAGCAATATGTAAGGATACTAGTACATCCATAAACATAAAGTGGGTGAAAACCCCGTATTCAGTATTTACTCTGGGACTGCCATGCTCAGCACTCCTCCCTGTGGCATTCACACTCAGCCTCAGCCGGGGCCCTGGCCGGGAGCAGACGGCCCCCTGGACGACCGGCAGGAGGCCATAAGGAAGGGACTGACGGGGCCTCGGCGGGCAGGGCCGGGGAGACCACGGCTACCTTGGAGCTTCTTTCACGTTCAGCTGTGGGTCTGTCCTGGGCCTCCCAGAGTCAGTGGTGATTTCTCGCCTTCTGAGAAGCCTCTGGAGCAACACTAAGACTCCTTGCAGGCCCGCAGGGACAGAGAGGGAGAGATGCCCAGAACCTGCAGCCGAAGGAGGGGCCGCCTGACCAGGGTGGTGGCCTTGCATGCCAGGAAGTAAGCCGAGGGGCCAGAGAAATAAATCCCACCCTCAGGCTCCTACCCTCCCATCTGCTGCTGGAGCCCCCGAGGGGCAGATCAGCGCCACCCAGCCCTCGAGCATCCTCTTACTTGTATTTGTGCTATTCTTTCTGCAGGGGACAAAACTGATGCTTAGAAGTGACCTGCCCAGAGCCACACAATCTGCTAGTCAAGGAACACTCGTCACCAATGACAGATGAAGCCCCCAAACCCAGCCGCTTTTCATTCTCCTGAAGTCCAGTTGGTGCTCCTCAATACATGGCAGCTCTCCTCAAGTGGGGATGGAGGAGCCCAGGCCCCCGCTATCTTGTAGCTCTGCCTCCCCTGGACAGGGTGGGGGTGGGGGTGGGGAGGAGGACAGCCTGGCTCTGGCGACGTTTGCCCACGAGCTGTAGGTCAGAATCCTGCCACGTGACCACACCCAGCCTGAAGGGAACCTGCTGTTGCAGCCTTGCTGTGTGTCTAGGAAGCGAGGAAGTGGTTGGTGAGCGCCTGGCCAGACTGCTACGTGTAGCTCATAATTTGGAATTTGCATCCAGGAATGTCTGCAGACCCACACTTAGCAGCACCCTACTGGAATTACAGGTAGTTTCCCTCCAAGACGATTTGCCACCTACCAGAGTTGGAGCTTCCCCCCGCCCCCCCCGGCTTGTTTATAGTCCTGAAAGCAGGCCCACCTGGAGCAAATAAACTCAGCAAACAAATTTGCTGAGTAACGGGGCAGGATGGTATCATGCAGCGGTCCTCACAACTTGTCTGCATACTGGAACCACTGGGGGATCTTTTGACAATGCCAAAATTCAGGCCACACCCACGACCAATTAAATCACAATCCCTGGGGCGTATTTATGAAGCTCCCCAGGTGACTCGGGTGACTCGTGTGCAGACAAGTTTGGGTACCACTGGTACAGTGGCTAAGAATACAGATTTTAGACAGGATGCCTAGGGCTGAATCCAGGCTTCAGTATATGTTAGCTGTGTGGCCTTGGGGAAGTTGTTTAACCTCTCTGTGCTTTAGTTTCCTCCTCTATAAAACAGGATAATATGGTTGTCATGAGGATTGTGTGAGTTAATGCATGAAAGTGCTTAGACTGGTGTCTCACACACTGTATCATGTGAGCGTTAGGGGTACTTACTGTTTCCGGAATGCTTACTGTGTGCCAGGTCCCAGGCGAGAGCTGAAAGACGGCCCCTTGCTCTTGGGGAGCTCAGAACCCAGTGGGAAGACAACGATTAGACCCAGCTAATCATTCCAGCCATTTGCCCCTTATAAAATGGAAATCAGTATGTTTTGCTCCTGAGAGATCAAGTGATATTTCACAAAGCCGAAGCAGAAACTGCTCAGAGCAGTTTTAGACTTGGAATTCCTGCTTCCGAAGACCCCACCTGGTCTCCTTTCCCTCGGCCATGCAGGCTTCCTGCTTCCCTGGCGTTAAACACAGATCTGGGGAAGCCTGGGGCTTGCTGGGGGAGCCGGCTCCATTTTTAGCTGATGTTCAGGATTGCCTAGTTACAGGGAAATTTGACTTGGAGGGTACATCCTGGTTAGCATTTGGAAATAAAAGTCAAAGAGGGTGCTGGGGGCAAAGTCGTTGGGGCTTGGGGACAGCCGAGAAAAGCGAACACTACCACGTCCTTACCGTAAGAATTTCTAGGCTATCAGCAGAGGGCAAACCATTCTTTTTTTTAAAAGATTTTATTCATTCATTTGAGAGAGAGAGAGAGAGAGAGAGAGAGAGCGCACAAGCAGGGGGAGAGGCAGAGGGAGAGAGAGAAGCAGGCTCCCCACTGAGCCAGCTGGGAGCCAGAAGTGGGGCTCGATCCCAGGACCCGGAGATCACGACCTGAGCCGAAGGCAGATGCCCAATCATCTGAGCCACACAGGCGCCCCAAACCATTCTTTTAAATTTAGATCCCATTGAGGAATAAAGGAAAACATGGCTGCTTGGTGCAAAGTATAATTCTGCTTCCAAAACCCTAACGTGAGCCTTTGTCGGCCCAGATGTGGCCCAATTATTTTTAGAGTGAGGGAGACCTCAGGGCTCTGACTCCCAAATGCGTTTAACATGCGGTAAAAGTTAAGCGCCATCCCCCTCCCCATTCCCTCTGCTTTTAAAAATCAGTTATCAATGTTACAGCTCCACACTCAGAAATCCCCCCTTCATTTATGACGGGCACCCCTAAAGCCAAATAATCACCTCTCTTCTCCATTTCAGTTTAAACTCAAGTTTTTCTTTTAAGACTTTCCCCCTTCAGAACATACTATTGTCTTCAAAACCCTTTTTAATTCTTCTTACAGGCTTTCATTTTGAAAGCCGTTTTCTCAGCCTTTGTGTCCTGTTTGCGGGAGTTTTAGCCACTCTCCATCCCAAAGAGTGACCTTGAGTAAGTCACTTAACTTTGCAGCATCTCAGTTTCTCCGTGATTTATCCGTCGGATAGA